AGAAATTTACAGAGAGCGCCTCGAAAAATATATCACATAAATTTGTGTATCCTAAATAATAAAGAAAAGAGCACAGAGACAATCGGGTTTGGCATTCTAATTTCTATTACCATATTACATCAATAAATTAAATTAGATTTTTCAAATTTACTCCACAGAACCCAGCAGGAGAGGACGCGCACCCTAGATGAAAAATTTGGCGTCCTCTAAACTCCGAATATTCCGTGTCAGTAATATCGACATCCCGATCATTTGAACACCCATAGTGTACCTGACGGTGCTTTCGCTTTTATATCAACTTGTTAACAACTTTCACTCGCTTCCCACAGCCTTTGTATTACGAACTGAAAATCCGAACAAGTTCCGAAAGGCTGAACGAAAAGCCGAGGTGAAATTCGAACCGAAAGTGAAGCTGAACTCCGAAAGCAACACGATCTCAATTTTCATTAATACGTGCATAATCTCTTCTCAAAGGCTTATTCTCAATTCTAATTAGCTGTCATAGCTGAATTGCTTAGATCCGATCTCTTATAATAACGTGAAAATCTGGTTGAACCTTCGAGCCAAACTATTTTTTTTTACGTTTAACAGTCTTACTCGATCACTGTGTTAGAGATCCTTCAATCAAGTGAAACTGGAAATGTAATCGGCCGTAGTCGAAGTAACTATGGGGAAGATGCGAGCTTAAGTCGATGAGCAGCCGATGAACACCGAAAGCCCTGTTGATGAAGAGCCGAAGTATAAACGAAGCCTATATTGTGACAAACCAAAGAAGCGACGAAGAAGAAACGATCCAAACCGAAAATATGCTGAACAGTATTCGATTGAAAGAAAAAATCTAAAGAAAAAATTTGGAGGGAGGACCTCGCCCAACCTCAAGGGGACCCACTAACTAAGTTGGCTAAAGTTTTTACTTTAACTTCTTCGAGCCGAATCAGAAGTATGACAACTTCTAGTAGAATTTGGATTTTACGGTTTGACCAGCGCACCATTTATCAACCCCCTCTTCATCCCAACCCACAAAGAATCTTACTAACCGGCCAGACATCAGCGTCTTCTAACTGATTTATTCCCAGCCTCCACGTATGCAACAGAAAGGAAGAGAAGAAAAAACCCAATGGAGCGTTGGCTCTTTTCTTCACCACGCTTTCCCGTCCATATGCGAGTTATATTGGTAACTAGAGTCAGCACCTGTCTTGTGATGACGGACTGGACCACATGACAAGGAATGGCGTGGACTTGACCGGGCAGTACGGGACTGCATGGAACTGGACTTCGAGTTTTGGACTAAATGCACGATGAACTGGACTCGCTAGACTGGAATGGACTGAGCGGTGTTTGGACTGGAGTGTGTCGTATAAGTCTAAATGAGAAAGATATTGTGGATATTTTAATGAAATAAATAATACGTGAAATCATCGTGGCCCATAGTGGAAGGGGAAACATTGCAAAATAATCATATTCTGAGTTCGTAAGCATCGCACATGTCAGAAGAACTAAACAGGAATTTTCTGGTAAACACATTTTACTGAAACATTGAAAAACTTGGTTCGTCAACAAGCGGTAAATTTAAAACATTTTACCAGAGTAACCCTCAGGAGTAATAAGATTGGAAAAACTGTTTAGATCGATTTAATCCTAGACCCTTCACATCTTTACATCAGTGTTTTCATCCTCAATACTGTTCTCTACACATTTCTTAAGGAGAATGTGTTTAACTATCATGAGCTTCGTTTGTTGGTGATTATTTCCTTTCTTCTTATGTGTGTGACCTTAATTTGTGATGGATGGGTAATAATGTCAAGAGAAATTAAATGTTAGTAACGCCTAGGTTTTTAGGATTACCAAGAAACGACTAGTGTCTGAGAGCGAAACCCCCTTCAAATTTCCAAATATCAGTTTCGTCTGGAGTCATGATGAGTAAACATCGAGGCGTACCTTTAATTTTTCCATGCGAAATTGGGAGAATCTTGATGTAGAATTAAATTTAAATTTCAAGCCCAGAAAAGAAGCAAACAAACAGGCAAATCAAATCTTAAGCAAATAGTGGAGATAACAGCCAATCATGTAAACAAGATTTGAATTTATAAAAACTAACTGAGATAAGAAAAGGACTTTTTGTCTTTAATGCCCGAAAATCAAGACTTGCTTTGAAAAAGGGGTGTTTCGTCTAAAATATCAGGATTTACAAGCCTTCTTTGAGTAAAAAGCGTATTACTAAAATTTTTATCCTTCAGATGATGTTTCGATTGAAAAGAAAAAAAACACAAGTGTGAGCCTAATTTTTACTTTTCATAACGAGCGGTTACCTCTTGAACCCTAAGAAGTAATTAACATGAAACTTCTCCCTACATTATTTATACATGAACCAGCAAACAGGTTCAATGAGATATTGATATATATTCAAATTTATCTCGTAGAAGTTATCTTGATCTGATATCAAATTCCTGTTACTAATTGGAAGGAAATGTTTAGCAGCCAAAGGGGAGAATTGACTGATCTTGGAAGCTAAGGGTTGACAGGAAGGAAATTCTCAGAATCTGCTTAGGAAGTCAATTGAAATATTTCCTTAATTCACTCGTCATCTATATATTACGCACAATGTTTAAAACTAATGCCTCCATAAACAAGCTATAGATATATTCACTATCAAAATTAATATGCGTAACTTAATAAGACACTTAGTTTCGCTTCAAAGTTGTAACTTATTAAAATTTTAAGAGCACAAACCACACTTTCGCCACATTGTTAACGCGGAATTTCAGCAAAGAAGATGAAAGATTAGAAATGGTCCTCCGCGCGACAACAGTTTCAAAGAAGAATTTCAAGAAAGCCGATTTTGTAAAAAAATTACGCAATAGAATTTGTACTACTGTGTAATGAACAATTTCTGGGCAGAAACACGAGCGACTGAAAAGAATTATAGGATTTCATGAAACGAAGCTTCGGCCTAAAACCCCTCTTGAATTTGTAAATGGCTTAGCTTCCTTTTTGAATTAGTTTACACAGTTTTACTTGTTTATATAAGCATCGATAAACACTTACCTGCTTCCGTCCGTTGCCAGAAATGATACGTGAAGTTTGACGAAACGGGAAACGAAAGAATCTTCCAAATCTTCCAAAGGAGAGATCACTTCTCTAAGCTTGAGATAATTTCAGAAAGGGCGCCGTTTTAAACTTATGCGTACACGTGGTTTATTGAGCTCTCCCTGAATGGCTCGTTTAACTGCACGGGTTTTTAGCGCGCACGATTTTTCTAATTGGCACCATTCATTAGAGGCATATATTGTTATGGTAAACGCAAACGGCAAATTAACATTTGGGTTCCCTCATTTTTCTTCCGAGACAGAATAAAGAAGGGCCTTGCAATGAGTGCAAAAGTTTTGCAAAAAATGCAAAAACTGAAAGGGTAGTAACAAAACTTCAATTTTTGTCGTAGTCGTTCGTCGTGGGTTATTGAGCTCTTCCCTGAATGGCTCGTCTAACTGCACGGGTTTTTAGCGCGCACGATTTTTCTAATTAGCACCATTCATTAGAGGCACATTTTGTTGTCGCAAAACGAAAACGGCAAATTAACATTTGGTTTCTCTCATTTTTCTTTCAAGACAAAATACAGGAGGGCCTCGCAATGAGTGCAAAAGTTTTGCACAAAATGCAGAAACTAAAAAGGAAGTAATAAAATTTTCATTTTTGTCGTAGTCGTTAGCGTTAAAATGATAACTCTATCAAAATAGCAAAATATGATGTGAAATAAGCCATACTTATTATTTTTCACGGGCTTTAAACATTTTTATTTCTTTTTCTGTTCAGTCACGGCTGAAATGATAATAAAATAATCGATGGAACTTGTACGAAAAATTAAACTTTGTGCTATCCGCCAGACCTCGCTTGTTCAAAGGCTAGATGATTCTATTTACTGGATAAATCGCTATCCGGTGGTTAAGTTTTTACCAAATATACATGCTATTTTAAGCGCTTTATTTACATGAAAATTTTGGACTTTCTAATAGCGCTAGGTTGACATCTGTGGGTGTTTTCTTAGCCCTTAAGCTAAATATCGGGTCGGTTGGTTTCGTAATAACTGGAACTCATTTCATATCCTCATATCAGATGTTGAAATAGTGTCCACAATTACTCTTTCTGTTTCTTCTCCCATTTCAGTCCAGAACACTAATGGCAGATTAGCTACAAACGAAAATTCATCTTTCTACTTTTGTGTCTACTGTAAAAGTAACGAAACTCTCTACAGATACTTGGCGATCACGTTGAACCGTGACCAAATTTGAGATATTTCAAAAACGGTACACGAGAATGGAGATCAACCATGAACAGACAAAGATACGGGCAAAAACATCCTGTAATCAGCTCCAGGATAAGATGGTTGAATATCAAAATTAAAGGATTTTTAATGTGTGTTGAAAAATGCTTTTCAATATAAACTCAGTATACTTGCCAGAAGCTGTTGCCTCCTAATGAGAGCATTGTACAAAAAATTAGCAAAGTCTTCGCAAACTGCATGAGCCAGGTTGGATACTTTTATTGTATGATCATTTTTTCTGAGAACTGAGTTATGTTGAAAGAGTTTTGCATTTGTAGAGAATGAAAATATGCATTAAGTAGGAGCAACAAAGAAGAACGGAAACTGTCTTAAAGTTCCTCTGCGGTAGAAGTCAGCTTCTATTACATTAGTGTATATAAAAAGATATAGTTCCTAAGTAATGCTAGCCTCATTATAGTGGTAAGTGGAGTGCTTACTGCAATTACTGCCAAGTACTACCACATCACGAAGGAAGTCACTGCCAGCCACGCATGCTAGAATTTTTGACGCTCAAGACGTTCGCTGTCTTAAGCTGTTATGGGGCAAGGTAAGGAGACAGTAAGCGGGGTGAACGGAACATAAATATTCAAGAAACCTTCATTCCAGTACCCAATATTTTGACAAAAGCAAAACAAAAGATTGCATACGTTTTTCTGGTTTTTTTTTTTTTTTTTTTTTTTTTGACGACGCTTTTTTCCTTTAATCTTGAAAATATCATTGCAATTTACAAAATAATTAAATGTATTGATATATCTAGAATACTTATTTCAAAAAATCCAAATAAGCTTTTCTTTTTACTGGCCCTTACAAGACTATAAAGTTTCTGTAACAAATGAAGTAAACGTTCGTTGAAGGCCAATTCAACATTTCTGTGCCTGATTTAAGTTTACCAAAAAAATTTCACTATTTTTAAGAAAACTTTTAGTCCCTCTAATCGTTTCTTCTTCGCACTTCTTATCATACAGCTCCGGCTAAAAAAAAAATTAAGTTCCTCCTCGTTCTCTTTTTTCATCGTCATTGCTATCGCACAATTTCTTGAATTATCAATGAAATGCAGACCATGAAAGCCAGTCCTCCTGCTACCGAGCTTTCGAGCGTTCCATATCTTCAATAATGGACAACAGTTTTTGTTTTCCTTTTTTGGTGACATGTGAACCGACACCACATGTCACCAGGCTTGTCAGCTGCTTAGCTGAGTATTCCTGAGGAAAAAGAAGAAATCTTTATGAAATCATCATAAAAAAGGAAGAACAATTTGCTGAGATGACTAAGAATTGAAAGGATTTGACGAATAAGACAATGCCATGGTCAAATGGGGACTGCTGACTACAAAAGGAAGTAAAATAATAGCATATCTTAATCACCAGAAGTCCCAAACAAAGCAAAATTAAAAGGTTTTATTTTAATTGAAAGCTTTTGGGTCATTCTCTTTGGGTGAAATAGAAACGAACCAAATTATGAATGACCAAAGTGTAAATCATAAGTTTTACGAGGAATGTATCAGTCAAAGGGTAGCAGTTATTCTGGCCAATTTTATTCGTTAGATTCTTTGGTACTTCTCACTACTGTATTTTATTGGGGCTTTTTCAACATAAATAAAGGTTTAATTTAATTGTAGAGAAATGATGGCTCTTATCCATTAATATCCATTAGTATCCAGGATCCATTAGCAAAGACTCCTTTTAGGAAAAGAAACTAAATAAGAAGAAATAAAACTGAGCATCTACTTATAAAGCCTGAAGTATTACATCATTTCAGATCTAGATTTCGTGATTCATTTACTAAGTATTTCACAAAGGAAGGAAAATTTAATAAACAATCTCCACTCTACATTGATTGCACACACCTTCCATGCAGAGTTAATGACCGATTTCACTAACCTTGTGTTCTCGGATCCATCTTTCCATTTCATTCTCAGTGAGGTAAAATGCCTTGACATATGTTTCTACAAACTCTCGGTCCGGGATTGGTCTGAGAAAAATAAAGTCACAATCAATCATGTTGCTCAATATTTTTTGTGACAGAAATCACCTACTGGATTCATAATATATCACACCCTTCTTACCGAATATCTGTAAGTTTCTCCAGTTTCATGAGGTATTGTTGATAGTCAAGTTGCATCAATGCTCGGCCCTCGTTGCTACACTTTTTGGCACTTGCAAATCTTCAAGAACAAAAACCCTGAATATAGTGATTTGATTATCTATGCATGGTGTCCTTCAGTAGCATTTTAATTGACAGTAGTGAAGTGCTAATAGGGCCTTTAACTACCGTTAAAAGATGCCTGCAAAAAAGATTCAGGCAATTAACCTGCGGTACCTCCCCTATTTACCACTTACAGGCAGATACAAATATTGAAAACCCAAACAAGGTGACACATTCTTGTGACTACCGCAACTAAAGGGGGCACGGATGTAATGAAGCAGAAAATCACTACATAAATTGGGTCTTCAATAAAGACTCTGATTCACTTTGCTATGAAATTTGTATTTTATACACTGCTCAGAAAACAAACTTGTTTAATTAGTCCACTTGATGTTTAAAATAAAAGACCATTGCTCATGAACAAAGAAAGCCCTGAATTTCCTGAAATATGCACTTAACACCAGTTTGCTATACACAGAAATATAGAGCAGGTCTTTGCAGCTTAGCAGAAGCATTCTCACCCTTCAACAAAGGTTCTGTTCACGAGGCGAATACAATGATCCCACAATACTGAGTGAGCCTCCTGAGGAACAGGAATTTGTCTGTGGGTACAAAGAGAAACTCAACTGAATGTCAATTTTCAGTCTACAGACTGTTAATAATTTTGTAAGAAAACTGATGTAATTCCAAGATGCTTCTGGTTGTGTGATCTCCGCAATAAGCACTCTAATGTTGTGCAGATTTTCATGATTAGTGAAATAAACTAGTTCACCAGTAATTACATTTGGGGATCAATACTTACTTGGCTAGTTGAGACAGTCTCATACTGAAAACTTGTAATTCCTGATTAACAAAGCAGAGTACAGAGAAGTAATTAGCTACAATATGCCCAGATGTAGGATCATGAGCAGAAGTGATGGAATGCAGAATTCTTTGGTTTACTCTGACTTATCATTTGGACCTGTTTTTCTCTATAAAGGAGATGTCAATACACTGTTATTCAGAATTGATGCTCCAAGAATGTAGACTGCTTTTTTTTAGAAACACCTGTTAAACACCTTTTAAATGTCTACCAAAATACTTGAAAAAGCACAAATAATTAATCAAGAAAGAACACTATTTCCACATAATACCCCTTTTTCACCAACTTATGATTTATTCATACATCTTTCCTGAGGGAAGATTTTAATGTGTCAGTTTGTGCCAAAATTGTTTTGTTTAGTTGGATAACACTGTTTGAAAAATCAATAAAAGTTAACTGTCCAATATGATTGGCAGAAAACAATCTGCACAAATGCTAATTTCATTTCAGAATATGAGCTGTACCCGCACAAGAATGTCCACATAGGCATTGTGTTGTGACATGATGTCCCGAATGTCCCATCGCACTCCAGTCATCAGCTGAAGTGTCTGAAATCAATTGAAATGGGGTAAGTCATCTTTGGTCTCTTGTACAACTCTACAAGCAAGTAATAAATAATAAAAAAATCCTGTGACTGATCCTTGTACCTGATTAATCAGTATATTCTTTAATTCCTTTCAAAACTTTAGCTCCAATGAAGGGCTAACACTCAAAACATAAGCTTTAGAAATTCTTGATGATGACCAATTTGCTTTATCAACTCAGTTGATAAAACCAAATCATCTTCCTTTTAAGTTCATATTTAGCTATTTCATAATCCTCACTACTTCTACCTCTATTTAATGTAAATACTCATAATCTAACAACACTGTTCAGGAAATAAGTCTTTTCAGAAGAATTCTCACCTGATCATAATCAATTACTCTTGAGCCAACACTTCTGTAAACTGGCCGCCTGAGTTCCTGAGCAGTATTCACAGTCTGTGGATTTCAGTCAATCAAACTTTGTGGTTAACTCCTAACTGAAACTCTTCAATGTTTTCATAAATAAAATTTCATAACAAGTGATACTTCGTGTTTTTTTGACTGACTCAAAAGAAGTTTACCTGGGAATAAAACTGTGAAAGAAATGCTCGTTTGTTAGCAGGTATCATTGACTCAAGATGGGGATGAAGAAATTCAAACTGACCAGCTAAAAACACTCTGAAACAAGAAAAGACAAAATACATCAAAGAGTTCTGAACCAAGAAAACCAATTATGGTAGAACCTTGCATCTACATAGTAACACTTTAAAGGAAAATGCCTTCTGTTGAATTTTTAATACTGAAGATCTTACAGACACTGGTTAGTCACAAAATATAAACATGATTCCTAAAACTTTGAAAAAGAGAAGCACTGCAACTTACAGGGATTCTGTAGCAATTATTCTCTCAGACAAGCCAAACATGGTATCCACTCGAGAGAGATCCACAAGTGGTGACAAGTAAGGGTGTTGAACCTGAGAACATGAAAAATTATTTATTCTAATTACTTTTTGATCCTTCAATAAATTCCTTGACACAACTTTTATCCATCATGCACTTCAAACCTTCATATCACTTCCATTACTCATCATCTCAGCAGACTCCAACTGCGAAAATGAATAATTCAGATTATCAGAATCAAGTAAGCTAAACCTTTAGCAAGAATGAGTTTATAATGAGTTATCTCTCCTGTTGATTAATGACAGACAGGCTGAAAGAAACACATTATATTTTGAGATTAACTGTTCAAAGAACTTTTGAAAGTGATTTCTACTGTTTACAGTAGTTATAATAAGTGACAACGAATTATTTGACAACCCAAGTAGAAATCATCATCAGAGCCAAGTAAGGAGTTGTTTTTCAGTAATAAATCTGGTTGTAACTTTTGCTATAACATCATTAGCAATATAAGCTAGTCTTGCTTTGTGTTTATGGTACTTACATGTTGAATAAGATTGTCTGATATTCGTTTTAAACTTGTTCTCAGCTTTATACTCAAACCATGGGCACTTCCATCCACCTTATATGAACCAGAATAAATGATAAGAATAAGAATTGTATCAACTAAGGGAATCTTCTTAACTATGACATTAAAACAAGATCAGCACAAGTGGTTAATAGTGTTTTTTGACTTTCTTAAAACCATATTTACTATGATTATTTTAAATTTACTATCACATTCTCACCATTACTTCTGGGGCAAAAAATGATGCAACCTGCAAAAAAGTAATTCTGATCAATTCACTAAATAAGAAAAGAGTGATGTTTGGTGTACAACTGTTACCCTAATGAGAGAAATCACAATTAGTTAATATGAAATATGTGCTATTTTGAACCACAAATGAGAACATGCAATGAAACAATTTTTTCATGTGAACTGCAATTACTGAAGAAATAGGAAGAAAAGACACCTGAAACAAATTCAGGCTACTGTTGGTTTCAAATGCTTCCCTCTAAGAATCTAGCTAGGCATTACAACCAGCTGAACGACAAAGTCACATCTCAAAAGCAAGGCATATTTTCAGTGGATTGTTTGTTCCCTGTTAAGGAATCTAATCACAATGAGGAAATATGATATAAATATATTTATATCTGTCATACCGAGGAATAACACAACCCCCACATTTAAGCTGAAATTAAAGAAATTAGATGTTAAAGATCATATTCCCTTACAAGAAATAGTGAAAAAAAAAAAAAAAAATGAAAATTTACCCAACTCCTGACATGTTACTTTTTAACTCAGTTAGTAATAGGGTTCAGCCGGTCCAGTAAATAAAAGAAGTGGGTTTTAATTTTGTTAAAGCCTGAATTTTTTCAGGATTCTTTTAAGGGCAATCATTGCAGCTCATCTGTAAGAATCATTTGATTACCTGTTACTCATTCATTAAGTGAGCAAGAGTGTGAAGAGCTCAGACACTTGAGATTTGCTTGTTGACTGCTATCTATTAGCTCTTGTAATAACAGAATAGTATTGCAGCAGGGACTAAAGCTAATAGTCGCATAATACTCACAGCAAACAAGTAGTAATCAAACAACTGTGACATGCAAATCACAACATCAAAGGCTATGGGCTTCAACACGTTCATCATTTGCATATATTTACCTACAATGAACAGAACCAATTTCAGTTTTAAGATGAGTGTTAAGTATACTTTAAGCTACATGATGGTTAAGATAAACAATTCAAATAGACCCAACCCACAACTCCTGTAATGATAACATCAGTTAAAATTAAAATACCATGTAGAGTTACTGATTGTCAAGTGCCATAATTTAAAAACAATGATCAACAAACCTTGACTTAGGAACCAATCTGACAGTTTTGTTTATAACTAATTTTCTTTTTTTTTTTTTTTTTTTTTTTTTTTCATAAAAACCTGATTACAAGTGACAGAATTCTGGAACATGTATACAGATACAAACTCAGATAATTATTATTATACCTACCAAACACTCTCAACACATTGAGGGTTGTGTTGGTGGTACATGGAACTTTAGACAAAAATTTTTGATGTTTCCTGCTATGAGCAGAGCTTTCTGTCCTAGAAGAAAAGAACACCATATTCTCAATTAAGGGACCATCTTTAAAATACTGGTATATCTGTTGTTGTTAATTGTGGTAAAGTATAGTGACTGTGTAATTTCAACGACAGTGATGTGCCGCAGTTCTCTACCAGGAAATATGATCTACTACAAGTGGCCATGAGGCACTGATCAGTTGGTTTTAAATACCAAATGTGATTCAATAATTAAGATCCTTGTGGCTTTGTTGTGTAATTGCCTCAAAAGACTGCTTCTATTTAGCTCTAGGTTTCATTAATAGAGAACTGAAGAGTGTCAGTTGCGTTGTGGTCTCATCTATTGTGCAGAAGATGGAACAGAAACAAACCTGCTTGATGGAATTTCACCAGTCCTTTCATCCACATAATCCAACTTGAGTTCCTCTGAAGAGAAGAAACCAAACAACAAGTTCACTAACAAAAACTGTTAACACTAAAGAGTGCAAGAATAAAGTTAAAAAAACTCAAAATTCAAAGATCAGAAAGAAAGAAACACCAGTTGCTCTTTACCTGGAATATCATCATCTTCATCATCTTCTTCATCATCATCTTGACTAAATCCTCTAGATTTCTTTTCATTTTCATTAACATCACCGTCAACTATTTCCTTGAGAGTGAAAAAACAGACTTCATATCCCATAACATCAGTGTCATAAGCATTTAAAGTCTGTCAAGCAGAACATGTCACACACTGCAACATGTGCAACACAACAGAGTTTGGTCATGTAGCCTGTCCAATTCAATTTCCATTTGTTACTTTTAATTGAGCTTTTAAAGTCTTAAAGGCTGCCTTACCAACCCATTGTGAGTACCTCTACTAGTATAAATAAAAACATAAATTTAACTTTGATTTAAAGATATATCACAGGTATCTAGAAGTTGATTAAAGTCTTCAAATTCTAGTGGACTGAATGAAGATTTTTCCTTTTGAAATAAGAATTAATAAAACTTACTCCATTTTCTGCTAATACATCCTCCCCTTCATCTTCAACATACACATCATCAAAAGGGTTACCATGAGTGGAATATCTTGAGAAGAAACCTGTTAAAAAGTTTATGTTCAGTTAGCCTGAGAAACCTCCAGAAATGACCTGTACATGAGTAAAGAACTTCAATAAGATTAATGAACAGCAGAAACTCTTTAGAGCTGACCTTTGAAATGAGAGTTGTTTTCAAGTGGATACAAAAGTAGTATGTGATCCATGACCGCTGAAAGGAGTTTCTATGACTACATGGAACAATAAGCATTGGAATGTTGAAAATTCTTATTATTTGGTTTATTTGTATCTTTTATATAAACTGTAACAGCTGGTGCTTTGTTATCATTTATACTGATTGTAAACAACCTACATGCACGAAAGACATTATTAATTGCAAGTGTAAACACCTGTGTCTGTAGTAACTTGTACTGTCCCTGATCCTGTTCTTTTGTGAGTTTTGACAAGTGGATGCTGATATTTCATAAAACGGAATTCCTGCAGAGAATTTTCAGGCAATTTTTTTTAACTAAATCTTCCAAGTCCTGTATAAACACGAGTCAGTGAGTTTCTACTTACTGAAAGGTCCACAATTTTGAAAGATGCCTTCACAGGACACAACTCCCAAGCATCATTTTCAAGAAACATTCGAAGTTCATCCATTCTTGACCTGTGATAAGTTTTAAAATACTTCACAGTTTGTGTTCTAATAGAATCATGGAGGTCCTCTGATGTGCTGCCACAAAACTCTTCACCAACAGCTATCAACCTATGACAAAAACCACACGCAAAAAATTCATTTAAAAAAAAAAAACAAAAGATATCTGCTACATGTAAATTTTTTAATTTTAAATATATTTATGAAACCACATATATCAGCTTTGCTTATAGATTATTTGACAGTGAATCTTTTATTTGATACTGCTCAGAATAACTAAAAAATAAACAAAACTGCTGTTACCATACCTGTTGACAAGATCCAATACATAAATGAAGTCATCATACTTGAAATAAGATAGGTCATGAGCAAGAAGATGCGATTTGATTCTCTCCTGGACTTCCTAATAAATGAGAAATAAAACAGACTGTTATGTTAATAGAGATGAGATCATCAAATTATAAGCCATCATTAATCAAGGGAACTGTGATGAGCATATTACATTTTATGATTATTTTCTTTATCACGGATCCGACACAAATAAGTAAATACCACACAGGTGAATAAGGCTTTTTGCATGTGCTGATTGAGTGGTTCAGATGTGATTAGCAAGTATTCTTCCCTGAGTAGCAGAAGGGACCAAATTGTACATCAAGAGTTTTAGTTCTTAGCATTTTTCCATATAGTTTTGGTTTCTGTGCATTCTACACTAAAACAATTATTCACCTCTGTGTCCCTGAAAATGGTGGATATTTACTTCATCGCTCAGCAGCTTGTTAAATATCTACCAATATTCAACTCCACTTTGGTAAATAATTATTAATTGACAAGTTTTTAATAAAAGAAGTGCCAGGTAAGGGAGACAGACAACAATGCCAAACTCATTGCTAAAACAAACCTTCCATATCCTATTAAGTCCATGTTCTAGTTTCTGCTGAATGTAATTTTTGTTATAAGTTGCCTCTGCTGATGGTTCATCTTGTTCAGTCTCACTGATGTGCATAGCAGGATCATACTGTTCATGCCATTTGATAATTTGATGATAGCTTAACATCAGGGACCATAACACCTAAAAAAGTTGAATTTTTGTCAGACAAACATGAAAATATAAATATAATGCTGAAACAAGACATAGGATGAAAACTACATAGAGCTTGGAAACATGTGCACCCATCACTCAAATAAACCTGATTCATTCGACTACAGAACAGTTTCTTTTTATTTTAAAACACATAACTTTGTATACTATGAAAGCATTATATATATATATATATATATATATAGGAAGTCTGCAAGTCGATTTTCGCGTGGAACAGTGCTCAATACGTTGAAGTAGAGCAGAATAAATATTATGAGAGGAAAAAAACGACGCAACTACATATCCCGACAAGCCTGTTTCGTGAATTGCTTCACTCTTCAGGGGTTTAATGAAAGAATATTCATGTGACTATCGTTTATATACTAAGAAAATTTGCATAATACGCGGTAAACTTAAAACCTTTAATGTTCAGCTGTTGCGTAGCAACGCTTTGTTTCTGTGTCGGCATGAAGATACGAGTTCGTTACGCTTATTTAGTGATGAGAGGTCGGGATATGTAGTTGCGTCGTTTTTTCCTCTCATAATATTTATATATATATATATATATATATCTTCTTAGATGTTTTGGTATGTAGTTTTGTTGAGTATTATAAGAAGTCGTGCTGTATTTTTCTGAGCCCATAGGGCAAGTCAAAATACAAACAATGAGTTAAAATTATTCAGCGATACTACATGCAAAAATGTCTAATAAGTTATTTGTTATCCTACTGCTTGTTTTTCTGCTAAATCTTTCTATTCATTTCTCATTAGGCAGGAAAAGCAAAGTGGATAGAGAAGTGCAGTGTGCACAGCCAACTGGGTAAACAGGTTTTTTACAGTACAAAATAACCAACTGTCCGAATAGTCGTACAATATCGCCAGATATTTGTTCTCTATCCCATCCTTGTTTGTTCTCTACTTTGTGCAGTTGGATAATAAGGCTTCTTATTATATGGCCTCCAAACAGGGGTCACCAAATTGGAAAATTTCACAACAGTTTTACTTGGAAACTGTTATCTAGTTAGTCAAAATAGTTGCAGGTCAAGGTACTGTACTTTCTGTGATTCATACCTTACAGAGATCTAATAAACATGACGTAAAGTGTTCAGCTCCAACTTTCTGAAAAAAAAAAAACTTTGGTAATTTTTTGGTAACCCAATGGATTACTGTCTATTTTTAGATCTGAAAATAGATCTAGAAATTAACCAAATGAAGAGATAGTTTTACCTTGCATTGCTCTTCAAAATGAAGATGTTGAAAGCCATCATCACACTTAACTTCAGAAGAAGATTCCTACATAACACAAATGGGGCAGATATTTAAAAAATTGAAAGTAAACATATTCTGCTTGGCAAAAGATGAAATTCTAAACAAACATCTAGAGATGATAATAGTTGACACTCAGCAAGGCAAAACTTCACCATAATTCTACGTACTGTAATTATCATTTAACATCAAGATCTTTATAAAAGCAGTAAGTACCCCTAGGTGATCCATTACAACAGAAAATGACTCATGATTAATGGCTGTCATGAAATGGATGATCAGTTTATCCATTGCAATCTGTGTCTTGCCCAGGTATCTGTAAGCAGTTAGCAGCCGTTCATAATTCACAGGAGTAAAATTTTTGCACATCTTCCCTAAGGCCACATCAAGTTGTTTCTGAAAAAGAAACAGTTAACCTAAAATTAGGTTTAAGGTTAGTATGGTATAATGTGAGTAATCTGCCTCTGGCAAAGGTTTGTCATTAGTGTAGCTCCATTTTCTGCATATAAACCCACACACAACCCACAATTCCACCAATCACTCTGAAGAAGGGCTAACGCTCAAAACATCAGCTTTTTAAACTCGTTATGGTGGCCAATTTATGTTAACAACTCAGTTGATAATACTAAATTACCCTGTTACACTCTCCCACTGATGCAGCACCACAGTTTCTTTAGAAACTTATCCCCTTCATCCCTATAAAATAAGCTTGGGATAGATATAACATAGATATTAATCTCCTCAGCTGAGTCTTTGCTGAATAGTAATATTCAATAATCATAATGTAATATTTCCAATGATTGGAGGGATTTCCTGGTTTCTTGTACCTTTGTAGTAAGTCATTAAAAACGGATACATTGACTGGAAACTTACCTCAATGTCTATAAGAGTCTCTTGTAAGTTTGAACTCAATTCACTAATAATCAAAGACAATGTATTAAATCAAAATGGATTGTGTCTATAAATTTGAGATTTGTTCACTAAGTTTAGATTAAGTGTCTATTACCTTATTAATAAGGATTTGTATTTAAAAATGTATTAAAATTATCAAGAACAATTATTAAGAAACTTGTTGTAACACAGGAAACCATCCTTAATAAAGAGGTATCTATGAAAGGAGGTTTGACTGTACTTGGTAGCCTTAATCAAAAAGATAAACAGTTTGTTTGATCAAGTTTAAATTCCAAGACCTGCCTGTGATAGAGAATAACAAAATCTGATTAGCACTAATTACTATAACTTAATATACCCTTTTGTTATTTCCAATCAACTCGTTCAAGTGAAGCAAGAAAAAAATGTTTTTTAAGTTTTGCTTTTGTTCTGCAAATCTTGAGAGTATTAGTTCCCACTATCATTTTTTTAATCAATCATCAGAAGCTTTTACTTTACTTATGGTAGTTTCCATTTTTAAAATCTTTTGTAAAGGTAAGATGCCAACCATATTCATGGGCACAATCATAAGTGGAAGCATTAACCCCCACCAATAATTACCTTATACAGCTGTAATGTTTGAATGCTCTGGCTGCCTTCTCGCACTCAAGACACAGATCAATAGCACCAGGATAATCCTCTTCCTACAGGAAAATGTTAATCCATCTGTAAATCATGTCACTAAATATCAACAATAGCAAAGACAGTTGCGGCTTTTAAAACAATACTGCAAAATCAGCTTACATAGACTAATACAAAAACCTGCAGGTGCAACTGACTTGCCCAAATAAAATTCACCACTAAAAGTTAACTGTATTCTAGTTAAATTTTACATCCTTTTTTAACACCTTTTTTGTGGCAGCAAAGGTATCATAATGTGGTTTTTCCAAACATTAGGAAGATTAGCAATTTATACATTCACAAGTTTTCCATTATCTTGCTCTTACCTCAAGCATTTCTTTGAGTCTGACGTCTGTCCTTTGCTTAAATCAAATTACATAATAATACAGTTAATAATGAAGGGAATAAAAAGTAAAATTAAAACATAATGAAATATTTCTGTGGTCTGTCTGAGCTATTGTTCTAATCAACACCAATTTCATACTAACAAAACAAAGCAAAAAATTATTACTCACTAATGTCTTTATTGTTCGTAAGGAGTCTAGTAACATAAGCAGGTGCTGCTTCTTTCGGTGTTTGGCCAATATTCCTAATCCACCGACAGATACTCCTCTCTTAGCACGATCCAAGTGTCTTAAAGAGAGATTTCAGAGATTCAAGTAATGTAATGTAATTTTTGTTTGAAACATTGTTCTTTTTAAAGTAAATAAGGCAAAATTAATAATGAGACAGTTATCCTAGAGAAGAAACAATAAAAGGACTTGATCTAACCTTCGTCCTCTGTCACAGATTGAAGAAGCAGTATGTAGTGATTCTTCCAGGTCCATTACTCTTTGTAATTCCTACAGTTAAAGGTAAAAACCAGGAGAGAAATGTCAGTCCCTACAAATAACAAAAACATCTCCCCCTTTCTAGAATTCTAAGACTCAGGACACATCCGAAATATTTTTATTAACATTACCTGCACATAAGCATTGTGGTTTTCCAGAACTTTCTTGTAAAGTGTTTTTGAGACCTTAAACAAATGACAAACAAGTTATTCAGTCTACTGCCTGGTAAAGATACCATAAACAAAAACACCCAAAGTTTCTGAGCTTACAGCCTGAAGCTGTCTTCGCAGGTCATTTCGATAATCATCCAGGTCATCAAGGTCCAAGACTTTTGGAAGTTGCTGCAACATTAAAAGGTTAAAGTTAAATTATGAAAGGAAGTGGCGAGTAAAAAGTGAAAAGGCATAAGGACTGCTTTTCTACGCTATAAGTATCTCAAGATTATAAAAGAGTCCTCAGTCAATAAACAATGGAAGTCACCATTTGTTTCTGTATCAACAGTTCAAATACTGGTAGGAGAATGAACCCTTGGCTGGTTACCAAACTCTCCTGTCATTGGTCAGATAAATTACAATGGTTAAAGAGGTGTCTGAAGGGGCAGCAATTATAAAATAGGTGATCTCTGGCTCGTGATTTCTCCATTTCTACATTTACTGCTAGTTTTTGCAACTCTCTAACTTCTTTGTTTTGGCAGCCAAAACACACTCAGCTATGCTGCCTGACTCATTGTTTAAATTAACATTGCCAATACCAACAATGACTCGAAGTTCTCACTAAATGCCAGCAATCCAACCTGAGTGTTTATATAAGGCATGGAACTAAGTAAAATATTGGACTAGTCAGAATACTTACATGAAGCTCATAATCACTGGAATCGAATGAGGAATCTTTGAAATAAATGTCCTTTATTGCCCCTAATACCTGAGGGACAGCATCAGAGAATGAGGGTGAAAATATTTTAAATTTAATGTAAACAACAACAACAATTATAATAATAACCTTGGTGGTTCATTTAAAGCATTTTCTCCCGTTACAGCCGATGATCACTTTTTAAACTCTCAAATATGGAAACATATACAGTTCAATGAAAAACACACCTCTTCATCGGAACGAGGGTCATCCTGAAATTCCTGAACGCCATCCTAAACATAAGACAAAGAATATTTCCATTGATATTTTCAGTGTGACCTTGGTTGACGACATTAAGTGCTATTGACACGCACCCAGCCATCCGCTTATCGAATAAAATGGAAACATTTCCAAAAGATTAAAAGATAAGTTGTTGAAATTTTCCCCTGCCATCCCTGGTCAACACAAAGCCATTCAAGCTGATGACAATTTGTCTATTATTATTTTTATTATTATTTCAAAATAAGTATATTATGCTGATTATTTAGGAGGACATATTTGTAAAGTCAATGATGAGCTAAAGCTTCGACGAAGTTTTCTTACACACCTTATACACAGCTTCAGGCAGGTTTTCGGTAGAGTCTCCGTCCTGAGTGTCCTTATGGGATTGCTTAAATATAACGAAAAACCTCTAAAATTAACCAGCACGAAAATATGGGTATTGAAAAAAGGAACCCATTCACAACATTGAGTATATTTTATAAGATATAACAGTTATCAAACTTAAACAGTCCTTTAGCTGATTGATCCAAATAATCGCTTACCCCTTGACGAAGTAAGTTATACACTTGATTCCGCAGAATCGTAAATTTCACCTTCGCAGTTTCCTTGGCAGAACCTCTGCCCTTGTCTTCCATTATCATTCGAAGCCACGGAAGAGGTAGTCGGTCAGCGGTTACTGATTTCGGAAATACTTCTTTAAATAAGATCAATCAAAGATCACGCCATCCACATCAACAAGAAGGCGGGAGGAACAGGCATCATCACTAACTAATCTTCCCCTCTGTCTTCGCGCAAAGAAATCATTTGGACACAAAACTGAAAATATTATCCATTCAGAGGGGAAAAATGAAGCCAAGAATTGCTACGATTGTTTTGAAAAGGCCCATAAACACCGGGAAAGTTCTGGCGCATAGTAGATAAATTATTTTTGTACATGCACTATTTCAAGCTTCTTCATTTGTTTGTTACAAACCTTAATGAAATGCTGCTATGTATTCGTCCCAAATTAATTCATTTTGTCGCAAATCCTGTTTACTGCATTCAAAAAGTTGTACAAGAGGTCATCCCTACAATGTCCTTAATTGAATGTTATCCCAAATCGATTCACAATTTTCAAAATGAGGAAATGACCAATGGCTGCACATAGGTTCCTGCGATGCAGCCAACAATTATGAAACCGTTGATGATGGGGCTGCTCTTGAGATACGACAGAGAAAACACCCAGCTGGAAAAAATGTTTTGAGGAAGGGAGGGGGGGAAACGTCAGGGTGGGTATTGTCAGATTCTACAAGTACATGAACAGGTAAGGCTATCAGCGAGTCCTCTGCACAAATTACAAGGGAGCCGGGTGGGTTTAAACTGTTTTGCTCCCCAAATTTAAGTTGGACTCCCCTTTTCACTGAGGGGAGGAGGGGGGGCTGAGGGGAGAGAAAGCTGTAGCTGGAGTGTTTGTTTGGAAGCTTGGCATATTAACTCCGCCCACGCTCCTTTAAATCGTGATGATGGAGGCTTACTTCCTGACGCCTATTTACACCTTGCCAGAAAAAAGGCGGCTACTTAGTGATCGTATGAAAGGACCTCTTGTTGCAGCACTTAGATCACCCCTGATGAAGGCACTAGACAAGAGTGTCGGGACGTTGGGTCTATGAATCGTAAGTTCTTCGGTTACATTCATTAAATATGTAGACCAGAGTAGCATCAAACCATGTCTGATTGTCCACCTGGTTGCCATGTGAACTTTTATATATTTTATTTGAGTGTGTGTTTCTGTACTTTTCCTTTAACGACTGGCAGTAGCACCAGTGGGTTCTTGATTTGCCTCTAACTAAAGGTTCTAACTAATCTGAGTTGTCCCCAAACTCATCAGAGTTGTCGCCAAAATCATCTGAGTTATAATAACTTCTTTAATCGTTCGTCTCACGATGTAGTTACTTGAGAAGTAGATCGCGACGCTTTAAATGCATACTGCTAGTCTTCATTGGTCGATGGGGTCGACTGCTCACGCGTTACCATTTGTATCACGGCGATCTAATATGATAGGTGGATTTCGATCTCCATTGTTCCGGTGAGTTCTGGTTTTCCGAGAGGTCTGACTCCAAGTTGTTCCCTCGGCGGTTTGCTGTCGTACCGGTCTCCCGTTGTGTTTCTTGATCGTTGGTATCCACACTTCAGGAATTTCGATTCCTTTATCCCTGTTGATGTTATCAGGGTGAAGTATCATGCGGATAGCTTCCTTTACTCCTCTGGTGTACCAGTGTGAGTCACGATCAACAAACTTTACTTTGTTCCAAAGTGGGTGGTGGCCGGTCTTGTTGACGTGCTCAGAAACGGTGCAGGTCTGGGTACGGACTAAACGTGTATCCCTCTCGTGTTCTTTCATCCTCTCTGGCATAGGTCTTCCCGTTTCACCAATGTAGATTTTGCTGCATTCACAAGGAATCCTGTAAACCACGCTCTCCTGTCTGGGTGGATTTACTGTGTCCTTTGGTCGTACCAAATGCGATCTAAGTGTCGCGTCGAACTTGAAGACTGCGCGAATACCTTGTTGTTGTGGGCAACGGCGAAGAGGCTCTGGTGCACCTTTTACATAGGGTAAAACCGCTGTGGACTTGAACTGCGTCACAGGCTCTTTGCTTGGGGATGAGTTTATTATTTTCGTAACCTTCTTTGTACAAAAGGTTCCGAAACTTATACTTTCTTGTCGTGTTTCTCGACAAGAAAGTATAAATGGGTTCTGGAAAATTTGCAGGTGGTTGGTACAGAAAAGTCATTGAACCCAAATATGTCGAGTTGCATTTCTAAGGTTTTTAGAGTTGTTGGTTTGTCTTTTTGTTTTGTAACATTAGGGAGGGGGGGAGGCTGAGATGGAGGGAGATTAGGGAAGTGGTTTTGTTAACTTACCACCTTTCCTAGATCACCACCTTTAATGTGATTGTAGCTCATTTATTTCAGCAACGACTACGATATCTTAGGGCGTAAATCCCGCGCGCATTTCTCGAAGGTAAATAGGAAAGGATATTTGGAGGATGAATTGCAAGTTAGAGCGTGCCTTCAACAACCAATATTTTAATTTAATTAGTAAGTTAGCTGATGACAGCTTTGGCTCAGAGGTGCCTACTTCTTGCGCGGATTATTGCTTAATAGACAAGAGGAAGAAAGCAAAACTAAGTTGATAATTTCATCCCCTTTTCGTAGAAGCCTTGGTCAATCCAGTCAAAAGGTGTGTGGGAAAAAATCTTTTGAATTTGAATTTTTCAATTTTCACCTTCCTTCCGTATTCAGTGTTGTGCTTTACTCTATTGCTTAATATACATTACAGGAAAAGAAAAGTATGCCCTTGGTATGAGGTACTTTTTGGGATACAAAGTGTGTCGTTCAATTTGTGACATTTTATACATTGTGTGACATACTGCTATTTTTGCCGGCGAGGTAACTAAAATTACGTAAAGAAATGTTGCATCTCTAAGGACAAGTTGCTTCCTTGTTTGACATTGCAATATGTAACTTGCCTTAATTATAAATTACATTTTTTTTAAATTTTTATCAAATAATTATTTTGTTCCTTTAAGCTAGCAAGGGTTGTCTAAGCTTTCATCAAGATATATATCAAACAGAGCGTATGACGGTGTTTAACGCTATTCTTAGCATGGTGACTTAGTTATTATTGTTGTTATTATTATTATTGTTATTTTATTATTCTATAATGTACCATGTCATTTCATCGTAACCACTCAACCTTATCTGGCTGTAGACCAATCAAACTCAGCGTGATAATTTACCTTACTAAAATCAGTCGAAAGACTTCAAACGTGTCGTCACCCAGTGTTCCAAGCTACGCTTGACTCATCTTTGTAGATGAAAAATTTTTGTTTGCAAAATGACTCAGCTTAAACATATTTGAACTTTGGTTAGGGTATTGTTGAATCCCTGTTCTATAGTGTGATCTCATAAAATTGCCTTAAAAAGTATCCTCAAAGCTTTACACAGGTCACCCAGGCTTCCTTACGGTAACTTTTAATTGTTTTCTTGTAAGACAGTTTTCCCCTTCAAAATCAGAAGGCTTCGTCAGTTGAAAATCCAACCGATAAGACTAAAAGACTGTTCAAAAAGCAGCGTTCCATCACTTGCAGTGTATAGATTAGGAATAAGGAAACAAATCACTGTATTTCTGCTTGATTTAGCACACTTTTAAATAATTGATTAACCCACCTGCCACCCGTCAAATAACATAGCCCGGCAATTATGCGAACAAAATTAATGACAGAATCAAGAAAATCACCAAGTTTAGCGTCGACCGAAAAAGAGTAATGATCTCATATTATATTGTTAGGAGCTTTGTAAGCGCATTCATGCCGGCTTTATTTGTAAAGAACAAGTGATCCCAAGGACAAACCACTTAGACATAAACCGAAACACATCTTATTACGACATGGCTGAAAGAGCGTGGTTTCGGATCAACCGTGATCTCTTGGTTTACAAAGCTTTCTACTTCTTTTTCCTGAGTGGTTTCGGCTCTATATTTCCATATCTTCCTGTGTATTTTCGTCAGATTGGTCTGTCAGCCAGTCAGGTTGGTCTGCTCCTCGGTTTGCGGCCGATTGTTCAATTTGCCAGCGCTCCATTCTGGGCCATCATGGCGGACAAATACAGGAAACGGAAATCCGTGTTGGTCATGTCAGTTTTGTCTTGGCTTATCATGACATTAACGTTAGCGTTTGTGGAACCTACGAACGAAATCTGTGAGATTCGACAAGGCAATGATACACATAACCATGTTTATAATTACACCAGAGTTAAGACTGGGTTTTTTCGACGCGAACTTTTGTGGCAAAAAACTCACTTTGACGAGACAAACGAAACAGAACTGATCCGCCAAAGGGCCGTGGATGTTGTACCTATTTATATTGCAGGACAAAACAAGGGTCGCCTTGAATCAAGTTTAACGAACAAATCACTCTCAGATGCTGGCAAAAATCATGTCAATCAAAGTATGGTCGAGAGTACTACCCAAGGACTAAAACGGACTTTTGATAAGCGAAACGACAGCTTTGTGTTTCAAAAACGTAACAAGCAGACCAGTGCTGATCCAAATAATGGAATATTGTATCTTAAAACATTGACCTCCACTCGGGGTTTTACGGAGTCAAAAGACTTAGTAAACAATACAGAGATGTATCGTCTTCACAGCGAGCGAAGTCCAAAGTCAAAAGCAAAACTGGTTCATACGACTTCACAAACAACCACCAGCCAAAGGGTACTTACACATTCAATTAACTCAAAGCACCTTTGGCGTTTTGATAAATCAGGGAATTTTCCAAGCAAGAACGAGAACAGAAACCGTACCTCGAAGAATTTATATAAAAGCCCTGGGCAATATCATTTCAATACCAGCATCAATCATAAATATAGAAATAAAAAACCAGGTGAAATCAACGGATCAATCCTCACGTCTAACTTTCAGTCACCCGTAGGAAACATGGGAAAGAAAAATAACAATTCATCGACTGATAAGAGAAGGCAAAATAAACCTGATGCACCCGTAGTTATTGAATTCTCTAGAATTTTTATCCCATCCGGTAAAGACGCGAGTGATGATAGCTTCAGCAATCATGAAAACTCTAGCAATGGAAATAGGACCAAATTTTTGCCGCACAAGACTATTCACTCCACGCAACATTTACAAAAAGTAAGTGACAGCATCTCTGAACCGTTGCTGAGTGAAGCAGGGCTTTCAAATCGCATCAACACCTCAGCAAACCAAGTTGATAGAGCAAACATAAAAGCAATCAGCAACAGCCTATTACAGTTGAAAGATAAGCTATCAAAGATCATGGGAGTTGATTCCAAAACCACAACAACGGAAAATGGCCAGCCCCTCGACACAAAGAAGAAAGGAAATGATACACGTTCTAGTAATGATTCTGTTGTCACGTCCTTCAACCGATCTCCTACTCAAACACTCCAGATTCGTGTTCATCACAAAAACGTCTCAAACGAAATCGATAAACTTCATCAAAGTCAGTCAGAGAAGTCAGACACAGAAGTTTTGATTCATACGGGAATTTCAGTGTTAAATTCAGTCAATTACACTGATAACTTAATGCCTTCAAATTTAAATAGTCTGAACAATACTGACGAGTTAATGTCACCAGATGATTCTTTTAGTAGTTCTGGAGATGCTTTGTTCACATCCTCTTCTCTTGTAACAAATGACAATTTGACATTGCATGATCTCCAAACTGATATGGAAGAGAGGAACCAAACTACTTTCAAAAATAACTCTACCATCATCACTTTAAACAGCAATTCCGATTATTCCTCAGAAAACAGGATGAAAGATTTCAGCAAAACCATTCAAGCAGAATTAATGCAAAACACACCACAACCTGCCAGAAATACACAGTTAAAACTGTGGATGACTAATTTACTTAAGACCAACTCCTCTGAATTGAAGAGAATTTTTACCATTCTTCTTGTTCTAGTTGTTGTAGGAGAATTTCTCGAGGCTCCGTCAACGACATTAGCAGACGCTTCCCTGTTGGAACACCTTGGTGAAGAGCGACGGTACTACGGAAAACAACGGTTATGGGGTTCGCTTGGATTCGGGCTGTCTTCGTTCCTTGTCGGAGTGCTTTTGGAGAAGTCACGTCATCTCGTTTGTGGTGAGCAATACACAGATTACATGATTTGTTTTTGTGTATTTGCTCTCTTAATGGTTATGACATTGTTTATATCCACGACGTTTAAATTTCAATACAAAGAAACTGATGTTAAACAAACAAGTGTTTTATCAGCTCTTTGTAATATTCACTATGGTTCGTGTCTTATGGCGGCATGCTTCATGGGAGTAGGTCATGGAATGTCCCATAGTTTTCTGAACTGGTTTCTTGAAGATCTTGGAGCAACTAAGACATTAATGGGTGTGGCAGTTATTTGTCGCAGCTCTTTGGATTTATTAACTTTTTTCGTGGCTGGAAGTCTCATCAAAGCCATTGGACAGATAAAAATCATGATAGGAGCGCTGATATCATATGGAGTTGCATTTACTATGTACTCGCTGCTCACAAACCCATGGTGGGTTTTACCAATAGAGATGTTGGTTGGATGTACGTACGCTGCCTCATGGTCGGCTTGCACTTCATATATGGCGGGCGCAGCGTCCTCAGAATCAGTCACAACTATCCAAGGTAAGAAAGCTAATCTTCTTAAGGTGGACCTTCTTTAGCATTTTACTCGAGTTTAATTGTAATTTTGATTGTGATTCTTTGCTCGGGATGTATATCGATTAAAGGTAGGGGTTTATTGATTGTTCTACCTTTGTCTAATTTTCTAAATTTAAAGGTAAAACCGAAGGAAAGTAAAAATACCAAAACTATCGACTACCACGAATGTTATTTGAGCAGAGGGTATTCCTGGTCTTATTAAATCGGTGTATTTTCTTGTTTGTCCACAGGGATTCTTCAAGGAGTTTACTGGGGACTGGGAACAGGTTCAGGTACAATAACAGGCGGGTTTTTAATCCATCATATTGGAGCTGTGGCAACATTCCGTTGTGTGGCTTGTGCCTCGTTTGTAGTTTGTATTCTGTTTTGCCTGGCGCAGTGCAAGTTTACGCGAGAATCAACCGAGTACTCTGAGATGAAGTATACTTACCTTCCTACAGTGGAATCAAAAGACACCGAAGAACTGCTGGGAGGATACAGAGTCTCAAAGACTTTAAAACACAAGCACAGCTCTATGAGAAAACATTAAATCACAATGGTCGATGTAAAATTGTTTATAGTTAAATAAAATATACTGATCCACCAAAAAAGTCTGAGACCCGTTCTGTAGTACAAACAAGACTTTCTGTACTGTTACCTAAAGACACCTAACACCTCAATTCAGCGTTCTAATTACAAAATATTAACAACAGGATTATCTCTTATTTGCAATTTCATTGATCAAGAGAAACCATACAAACACCTAGCTAGTTGTGTTCGCTTGCAGTCAATAAGTATATCTTATTCAATGTGGGAGGTCTGCATGGCAATAAACTTTAAGCTGAGGGTCATACTACTCAAGACAAAGTTGCGCAAGCAAAGGTCATTGTCAGATCAGTAGTAGCAGTCGCTGTGAGCTCCGCATGGAAATTAACTTTTTAAAACATTTTTATTTAAAATTATGTATTGACACAATCATAAAAGCTTTAAGCGCTAAATATCAACGTTTATTAGTAAAGATGTCTCTATAGATGAAACGATTCAGGATTGTGGCAAGCTGTATAGCCTCAAAAATAATTAAAAATTAATTGTTACACTAAGAGATAAAAGAGGACGAGATGAAAGCACACATCATAAGGAACGAGATTCAATTGACTATGTGACTTTCCGTTGAATAAGGACAAAATCGGTTTGATCAGATTAGTAATACTTGTCCCAGTCTTCTGTCCGTGAATCACTTGCCTCAGGCTCCGCGACCCCGACAGAAGCCTGCTGAAACTGGCCGTTGAACTGGTTTTGTGCTCGAGTGTCATTTGTATAGCTTAAGTTCTTATTTTGTATTTTCTCGCTGTCAACGCAGTTGTGAAAGGTGTCAAGCAATACTGAATAGTAATTACGGTGTCGGAAATTGAGGTGTTTCAGGCCCGTAGTGAATATTACGATAGAAATGACAGCTGCCATGGTAAAAACACGGAACGCAATAATTGGCCCTGCCACGCGAGTGAGACTTTCACCAAACACAAGGCCAAGAATTCCACCGACACCCCAGTAGATGCTCTGGAACACACCTGCAGGAAAATAAGAAAGAGGGTTATTAGTTCAACGAATACGTAAGTGTTTTCACGCTTAACTCGCAAAGCTTGTTTTAATTTGTTTCTCAGGTGATAGACACAAGAAAAAACCTTTGCAGGTTGTGACCCGCTTGTTTTAAAATTGTTCAACTTAGAAAACTCAAAACAATGCTAAAACAGTGCTTCCTATCACCTTGTACGGTTGCCAGGCAATCCAGGGGAGAAGAATTCGCCAAATACGTGGTACATACTACGAATGAAGTGGCAAATGTGAATCCTTCCAGTAGACCAAGAGGGATGAGCTGCCAAGAACTTGTTACAAAGGAGCATGCAAAATGATTAAACATGTACGACACTAGAACAGTGAATATCATATTTATATCCCCCATATGGCGTATCAGTTTATGACTCAAGAAAAAGCCAAGGGGTTCTCCAAGGAAGCCAAAAAACATTATTGTAGAAGTAATATGCCCCCCTTTGGCCTTAGAGAGATAAGTGACGTGAAATTTTGAAATCACTGAATGTGAAAAGCCCATGAAAGCCGCGGTCGCAGCAAACGTTCCGTAATGTTTTGTGTTGTAAGTAGTTTTGAGCCTCGCATTGGGGAAATTTTCAACTGGCCTTTGTGGTATCTCGAACTTGATTAAGACTAGTAATATCACAATTGTAATTACACAATAAAAGCAAAAGTTGATAACGTAGTCGGCGTAGATGTGCCCGCACATTTGCCGCTGAGAATTGTTGACTAAGATCCCGGTAATGATGAAAAATATTAGGTAGCCTATTGAACCAAATTGCTTTTGATATCCATACACAGCTGTATCCTCCTCCACTTGCTTGGCGAGTAACACTGTATCAGCCATGAAGAAAACTGGACATAAGAATATTTCCTCGAAAACAACCAGAGCTAAAGCACCAACAAATATATGATGGAGCCGAGAAGTGTTTTCCCTAAGCTCATTCCTTGTGGTAAAGTTGAATTGGATTTGATTGAGTGGCTCTTTGGGTTTTGACTTGAGATTAGAAATTGGAATTGCGGTGATGCTGCGAGTCTTGTTGTTACTGGTAATGTTAGGCTCTCTGTTATGGTCAAATGACTCTCCGGTTCCACTTCCTGATACTTCACTCTCTTGAGGCGATCCCGAACCAGATGATATCTGTACCTCAACGCTGTCAAAGCCATTGGTACTACGTAAGTCGTTTATGGGATTCCTAGGAATCAGCTTTGATCGTCTTGTAAAATACTCACTAACTCGTCTTCGCCTGAAGAATCCTGTCTGCATCACAGTGGAGTTTATAACTTTCGAGTCAGTTTCGTTAAGAGAAACCAGCTGGCACATCTGGCCAGTGGGCTCAACAAAGGCCAATGAAATGGTCCCTATAAGCCACACAAAAGTGCAAAACTGGAGCATCATTTTCTTTGGCAAATAACGATCAGCAAGAACTCCCCACAATGGACTTAAAAGGAGTTGTACAAATGGACGAACGCTAACGAGGACATCAACTTGATACGAAGAGAAACCGATTTGTCGAAAGTATGATGACAGAAACGGGAATGTTGTCGCCAATGAACTGTACAAGAAGAAATAGAATGCTTTAAAAACAAGAAGAGGCTTGTCGACTCGAGCGAGGTGGACATCACTTTGGTTAAGAAGTCTCTGAAATGTGGACCGACTGTAGTTTGTACTCATTTGGTCTGCAAATTCAACGAGCTCTTTAACGTTCTTTTTACGTTTTAAGTCCATTACATCAAGCACGGTTCAGCAACGAACAGAGAAGTTACGCTACGGTTCCTAACATTTTCTATGAGATCAGCCCAAACATTGGGGGCTATTGAGAGATAGAGTACAACTGATCCACATCCGGGGATTGCTCGCTTGCGCAGGTGGTAAGAGCAAACAGCCGGTGGCAGACTTTTCTGTGCTGGTCATGTGGCCGGTCACGTGCTAAATGTTAAGAAATTGTAAACAGACGTGTGGTACAAGACACAGAACAACGTGTTTAAAGTAGAGGACAAAACGAACCCTGCTCATGATTCAAAACTATGGTTGATTTTAAAGAATTTGAAAAGGAATAATTTTTACTCTAATCCTGAATTTGTCTGCTGGACAAGTTTTCTCTTGCGTAGCTAATGAAACAGTTGTTAAGGTCCACTTCTTTTCACTCATGATTAGAATTCATCGAATAATTTCAGCAGCCTTGGGACACTAAGGAGACCTCTTCTGCAAAGTGCCACTCGTCCTTTAATTTTTTTCTTTTTGCGGGTAAACTTTAGTTCCTCGTAGAGGCTTGCACATTAAAACTGAAGAAGTCGTTGTTTTTCTTTGAAACTGTATCAGAGAAAAGTTTTTTTACCGTTTCTATGGATGACCAGTCTATGCATAATTCTTATGACAGCTGATCAGTTTTAGAAAATGTGTAATCTGTATTCAGTCTAATCTCCATTTTATTTGACGCCGTTTGCATTCTACTTGGTGATATAAAAAGAAACAAAGGAGGAGAAGAAAATAACAAGCAATTCCCCAGGTGGTCAATAAGCCAGTTAAATTGTTTCACAATAATCCTGTCTCGGATACCATATCTTAACACTGGTGGGACAGATCGTTTGAACAGGTAAATTCAGTTACCTAATCTAGAGATTTATTGGTTCCGCACGCAACTCACAAAAGAGTTCTTTGACGACAAAATGATAAAGGAGGATAAAAAAAGTTCAAATAAAGGAGACCATGAAAGGGAGACCACTAAGCGCTTTAAGGATTCGCTCGGAGAAGAACTTCAAGTGGACAGGACGTTGTTATGCTACAAAGCATTTTATTTCCTATTTTTCGCTGGATTTGGAGCGTCGTTTCCATATATGGCACTATATTTCAAGCAGATTGGTCTGAGCGCCAGCTCTGTTGGAATACTAGCAGGAATAAGGCCAATTATTCAATTTGTTAGTGGCCCTTTCTGGGCAATTTTAGCCGACCGGTTCAAGGCCAGGAAAGCAGTTTTGTTATTCTCAATTTTTTCATGGCTCATAATGACCTTGGCTCTCTTGATTCCTACAACCCACAAGACACAGTGCAAAGCCATTAAGGAGAATACTACTGAAGTTGACTTGTCAGTGAGTCGACGGCAGCAGTTAATTCAATTTGGTGCTCAGAGAGAGTACTCAAAATCAACCTCCCATATGCGAGGAAATTTCGACACTGATAAGAACACTAAGCGGGTTGATAAACCAAGTGGCGCAAAACTACTTTTTCATATTTCTCCATTTCAAACGTACTTCCTACCAAGCTCTCATGAAGAACCTGATTTTGAAGTGGGCCATCCCAACCCGAAGATCTACGATTTGGTTTATGATCAGACCGAAGTGTATCAAGTATTTATTTACTTGTTGATTTTAGTTGTAAGCGGAGAGTTCCTTGAGGCACCAACCTTCATTATGATCGATGCTGCCTTGCTGCAGAAGTTAGGAGACGAACGAAGGCATTATGGAAAAACTCGATTGTTTGGATCGTTAGGTTTTGCGTTTGCTTCATTAACAGTTGGCGGGTTACTCGACAGCACGGAGTATAGGTACTGTGGACGAGTTATGAACGATTACAGGTTGCTGTTTTATTCATTTGGCATCATCATGGCTCTGGTATTTTTATTTGCAGCTTGGATGTTTGAGTTTACGTACGATGAAGCAGAAAATAAGGAACTCGGAGAACACACTGGAACTACTAAAGAGATCTTAACATTGTTGCTTAAATTTCAGTATGCATTCTTTATTACTATATCGTTTTTTCTTGGATTATCCAATGGATTATTTTTTAACTTTCTCAATTGGTATCTTGAGGACCTCGGAGCAAGCAAATTATTGATGGGAATTGCAACAATTTTTCGTGCTATTGCTTTAATTATTGCATACATATTCAACGCGCTTTTATCGAAGCTATTTGGCCATGTGCGCTTGATGCTGTTTAGCGTGCTGGGATATTTTGTATTATTTGGAAGTTTCTCCATCATCCATAATCCTTGGTGGGCATTGCTATTGGAGTTCTTAGAAGGAATTACCTACGGAACAGCTTGGTCCACAGCTGTCACTCATTTGGCTGATGCTACACCTCAAGGTGGTGCCGCCACAATGCAAGGTCTCGGTTACTGATCAGACAGTACTATTGATGATGTAGAAAATTGATACTATATAGTGGAAATGTAACAAGATAATTAATTTCGCCTACATGATGTCTCAAGTCGGGCCTCTGTTCTTAAGAAGTCTATATTTAATAACTACTTAATCATTTAGTAAAATGCTATATAAGTAATCATGTCGAGTTTTCCTTTTCTCTGAACATTAAAGCAGTGTTTTCTTTCCAGGTATCCTTCAGGGAATTTATTGGGGTCTTGGAGGAGGTTTGGGCGCCATTTTTGGAGGAATTCTTATGGATGACTATGGAGCTGTACCGTCTTTCCGTTCAGGGGCTGTTATCTCAGCCACGGTCTTAATTGTCAGCGGCTGTATTCAAGCTTGCATTTCCCAAACAAAGGAAGAAGAGAAGTTAAAAGCGTTTTGTGGAAAACGCAATGAAATACACTGACATCTCTCATCTCTTCATTCACGGCAGACAGCAAACGCGTTCCAGTGAAAGTTGGTCGCATTAGACCTGATGCAATTTTGAGCGGTTTGAAATTTTAAAAAAAACCTGAAGGAAGTGACGAAGTCTTTCTCCTAATTATATTCAAGCCAGCGTAATGAGTGCATTGAAATCTAGCTTTTCTTTTAAGAAGTCAGCCCTGACTGATTGCTGCCTGAAGGATTTCATTTGCTATATCATTGTAACTTTTATTTGATCAATAATTTGCCAATTAAACTTTACTTTCTTCAAATTTTGTCCTTTTTAGATAGATTATTTAAAAACCGAGATTTGAGTGAATAGAACATTCAGATCTGTATGGATGAAATGATGCATTAAGGTAGAGGCTTCACTTATCACAATTCTATAGAAGCTTCCAGTCCTCGATAACTGATGCATTGTTCTTCATGCTGGTTGTTTTATTTGGCGTATTAAGGGATTTTTAATCCACAAGGGATTTTTAACCCACAAGGGATTTTTGGATGAAGCAACAGATGAAATCAGTGCACGTAAATAAAGAGGATACTCGCCTGAATTTTCCGTAGTTCACACTCCGAACCTGTATCATCGATACATAAGAAATGGTTAGTATGACTGACATCAATATATCTTACAACATGTAACGGGGATGAGCGCGCTTCGATTCACTCGAAAAGTGGAGAAGCTGAAAGCTCGTGTTACCATGAAAAGTCGAGAGAAGAGTAAAACTATAGCACTACTGTAAGATAAACTTATAATGATATTTATTTAAAAAACGATATTGAGCTTTATTGAGCGCTAATATCCATCTTTTACCTGGACCTAAGATCAATAAAAGATAAAGCAAACGCGATGCTCTTTTGTTATCATCATACCGTGACGAACTTTGTTTGCGTAGCACGAAGTTTTGTGTTTTTGATAAAATGAACCACGAGCTAAAATCGGCTTGGGCTTGTTTGATTGAAAGGAGGAAAACTCACTAGTTAAAAGATACATTACTTTCATGTAGGGTTTTTGAGGGGCAAATTCAACGTACCATCAGGAAAATGTATTTTAATCTTTTCTAAGGCTCAAAGAATGTGCTGCTTGCAATTTCGGAAAAAATTGTTTCCCACCAACCATCAACGTAGCTGATGAATTTTGTTCATTTAGACCGAAGATCTTTTCCTAAGAAATTAACCATCAGAATTGTTCTTCAAATGTCTTTAGTCTAAACCAAATTTAAATACCTTTTATCATTCCCAGCTGAGTTCATTACAAAGCTTTAGTGATGCAAACTCTTTGATGATTAGATCATGGACAAAAGATTATTGTAGAAAATGAATGTCATTATATGTGTTGTGAGATCATCTTCTTTGCACACCTTGTACCATATGCTGTTTGTTCTTTACCTATTCATTCTAGTTCATTCTTATTGAATTTCTGTTAAGTTTGATCAAAACTGGCGAACTCGCATGGTTTTAAAAGGCCTCGTGTGGGAGAATTACGGGAAGTTTCGTTGACGACACACTCTTAAATCACGTATTCATAGGAAATGCAAATTTCTCTTTTCTCCATGGTTTCCCGGGTAGTGAGCCATGGAAGTATTAATTTCTTGCATAATTATTTTAGCGGGCAAATATAATTTGTGAGGTTGAACCGACAGGAAGAGTGGCGTAAATATCATTTGTTTCTTAACTTTACCCCATGAAAAGTGATGTGACGGGCCTGTTCCTTTAAGGACCACGTCGCACGCTCCAATCACTTTCGCGTGTATTGCCTCACTATATTTTGGCCGTTCTTCTTCATCTCCAGACATTAACGATTGTTTTACCGCCTTTCTTAGCAATCCATCATGGACATAGAGGACGAAGAACAAAAGGGAGAAGAACAATCTCCTGTTCAAAAGCACAAGAAGACGACCGAAAATTTAAGGAAGAAAAAGAATCCAAAGCAGTCAGACTACTTCAAGTGCTTTTACGAGGCAGACTACCTAATTTTCAAAGGATTTTGTTTCTTTATTTATGCTGCGTATGGTGGTTTTATTCCTTACCTTCCACTGTATTTTAAACAGCTATTCTTGGGCGCTAGTTACGCAGGGATCATCATTGGTATCCGACCTCTTATTCAGTGTGTTGGAGCACCATTCTGGGGAGTCATAGCTGACAGATATCACGCGGGAAAAGTCATATTCTTGGGGAGTGTCATTGCGTGGATCGTGAAAGCTTTTCTTCTCCTTGCTGTGCGACCACACAATCAACAATGCATTGAGATATACCTGAACGAAACATCTAATATGAGTTACGTTTATGCTTACGATCTTTGGAACACAGAGGCTACCGAGGAACCAAAATGGGTGGTTATACCACTGCATCATCCAATTATGGTGGAAAAAAATAGAATTACTGTGGTCGATACACAAGCAAACACACAAGCAATCAAGGATGAAACTGACGAACTTCCCGAAGAAGTATTAATAAAGAATGCGCCTCTTCAACAGAGGAAGCCCAGTCATAAAAATGCTTCCCGGCATCACACGAAACCTAGAGGTAAACTGGGAGCCATGACAGCGATAGAGAAAAGAAATACGTCAAACCATGATCTTGTTGAGGATGCGGACAAAGATAAAAATGTACCTTCCATACTTGGGGAAAATGAAGTTGGAAAAAGGTTTGAACTTAAATTTAGTCATATGGTGAAAGTTTACAATGAAGAATTAGATGCCTCGGTAGAATTTATCACTCAAATTGATACGTACGAAATTGACTTCATGTTCGTCATGTTTACGTTAATTATTATCATTGGGGAATTTTTTGAATCTCCGACCTACGCTTTGTCAGATGCTTCTCTTCTCAAGAGACTTGGAGACGATAGAGAGTATTACGGACGTATTAGGATGTGGGGCTCACTTGGCTGGGCCATGGCGGCAACTATGGTCGGACTTATAATCAATTATTCTACTTTCAAGCTTTGCCAGTGGCAACAAAACAACTATATAGTTGCTTTTTTCGTCTTCATCGGGTTTGTCGCGGCTGCATTTGTAAACGCGTTGTGGTTTCGCTTTACCTACGATGAAGAAAAAAAATTTGAAGATATCGGAAAAGTTGCGCCAATCCTTCTAAGCCTTCGTCACACTTCATTTCTGATGGCGACCTTGTACACGGGTTTCTGTTATGGAATACTTGTTCATTTTGTTAACTGGGTTATTGATGATCTAGGGGGATCCAGTTCTATCATGGGGGCTGCGGGCGCTGCAAGAGAAATAGCCGCTATAATCATGTTTGCCATGAGTGCTACAACTCTCCAAGCCCTTGGCGATGTCAACACAATGGTATTCTCTCTATTAGCTTACATTATCTGCTTTATTTGTTACTCTAATCTTGAGAATCCCTGGATGGCTGTGGCATTAGAACTGCTGGATGGAGGAACTTATGGTTTAGTTTGGTCCTGTTGTGTTCATTACATGAGCGATGTTGGAACAAAGCTGGGTGTCGTGGATACCACACAAGGTGACCAACTCACCAAAAAATTTTCCTTTTTAATCAATCTTTTAAGTACCGAGAGTATTTGAATGTCCTGGATTGTAGGTGACTGTTAAAAGAGTTGAATGTACGTTAAATATTTCACTCGGACAATGCGATCGAACCAGTATGATTCCTCAGGTGTTGTTTTTCGTGGAATTGTTTAAAGTTGGCCTCAATATTTTGCAAAAAATTCACCAGCTAGGAATACTTGCCTCATAAAAAGGGCGAAAAAAAGGAGAAACGTAATACAATAGAACTGTTTGATCCCTATAAAGGCTGTCAAAAACTTAACCGAGCATGAAAAGAAATGCCAATATTGCTGACAGACACTCACAGACTATTAGCTCATGGAATATGTATGGGGTTTTCTTTCCCTTGATTTTATAGAGTTTCTAGATCAGGAACCCGAAAAAGAAACTTAATTTGATAATCGATCGTCCACCGAACCAACTGCAACTACAAGAAAGATCACTCTAGACAAAATTACGTGGTTATCATTGTTTATGTTTTTCAACCGCTCATTTTTGACATCGATCATAATTCTAAATGAGCGAGCCAGTGTTTTTGGCAACTGATCCTTTCAGACTTCGCGGTTGAGATTCAATTTCAGTGGGTTTCTTACGAAAAGCAAAGCCGCCCGACAGTAGTTTAGAATGTTATTTGACTGAAAACTACTTTATTTTTACATTTGCAGGGATTCTTCAAGGAATATTCTGGGGACTTGGTAACGGTGGCGGTACTATGATCAGTGGTGCACTGATCGAGTCGTTCGGCGCTACGAACACGTTTCGTGCATTTGCCTTGGGTGGTACTGTAGTGCTTGTTATTCTCATTCTTGCTCAGTATACGGCAGGTCTACTTGAGCGGAGAGAAAACAAACGTAAAGAGTACGAGTTACTCTCCGAGTCGGAGAGTGATGGGTCAAAGAGTGAAGAACCGCAAGAGCATTCAGAAGAGGGGGAAGGTGGATATAAAGGAAAGCTGTCCAAAACCACTCACTGACAAGTGATGTGCTGATGGACTTTATACGTTTGACAGTCTGACGAGCAGGCGCAGAGAATGTTAAGGACCTGAGGACACAATGAAACAACCATCCATGGTTTATGAAGGTCCTGCGATATTTTTTTTAAACTAATTAATGAGGGAAAAAAAGTCTGCATGGAAATCATGATTGGTGTACTTAAGCTGTTGCACTGGGGGGAATAATTTATATCAGTTGAAGGCGATACATACGACTTGAATTGAAGAAAACATTATCAGATTAGTAATAATTTATTTCTATGTTTATTTGCGTTATTTCTGGGAAAACTTTCTTACGGCATCCAATCTGGAAATTAAATTGGACCGGATATCATTCAATGCGAATCCTTATTGTGATTTTTACTAAATGTTTTCATCCAATTTTTAACATAGATTGTATACGTATTACAAAGTACCGTTGTTGGTGTAAAATTAAAAGAACTGTTGTTGGTAAATAAAAACAAGGGTCTCAGTTTAATAGGAATTAACCACAGAGTTGCCACGTCTATCACAAGTCTCCCTACGCCTCATTCTACTCTCCGATGACCTCACAGCTTTCAAAGCAATGGTTATCGAAGAGGGGAGAGGGTCACACTTAGACTACTTACCCTACCGAAATGTTGAAATCAATGCTGTGTTCTACATAAATGGCATTTTGCGAAATTGGCAGGGAGGGATTCATGCCCTTTAGATTTTTTGGATAGAAATTACTTGATTTATAAGGGTTGTACGATGTTACATTAACAGAGACGAGGGATTAAGGGCAACTTAAGACCTTCCTCTATCAATTCCTCGGTGGAAAAACCAGCAGATTGTTTGCAAAAGTATAGACTGGGAGTTAAGACAAGTGATCACATCTATGATACTAAAAGTGGTAAAGCCTTTAAACAGAGTCAAACTAATCCTATACAAAGCAAAATGATTGAGTGATCCTATCACTGGTAAGTTGTAAAACAGTAAAACCTAGTCTTGAGCTGATCCAATTTTAATAATAAAAAAAAAGTTAAATAGAAAGTCAACAAACCCAGGGCTTTTCAATGACATTTAGATTTTTGTTTTGTTTTTAAGTTTCCAAAAGTGATGCTGTCCTTAACAAATTTTAACTGTTTTTACTTCATGGAATGCATCACACTTAGTGTAGCTCTATTCTTTGAAATGTTTCAAGGTTCTTGCTGAAGGATCTGTGGCATTAGTCCACTTTGGCATCCACAGATATGGAATAAAATGGCCCTGGTCTGGGAAAAACTCTTCAAAGATCTGACGGTAATAGAAGCCTTCCTTGGTTTTGGGGGTGTTATCTGGGTAAACCTCAGCTGCTGCAGCTAGTGCTTCATCAGGGACCTGGTTATTGATGTGATTCTGTAAAATCTCAAACCATGCCTGTCCAGGCTTAGTAGAAGACACTCCATCAGAGAATGCCTCTTTAGCTCGCCAAAGAATCTCCTTGGGTAATGCATCTGTTTTATCAAAAGATACCCGCAGAAGCCACTTTTCAATGCCATCTTTAGGCTGTCGCATCTCAGGAGGAAGAGATAAGAAATAAGAAGTGAATTGAACATCTAAGAAGGGAACACGGATTTCCAGACCATGTGAAGCTGTTGAGCGGTCACCACGCAGAACATCGTACAAGTAAAGATCTTCCAGCAGTCTTCGAGATTCTGCATCTGCCTCTTCTGGGGTTGGTGCCTTATGGAAATAGATGTAACCTTGACACAGCTCATCAGAACCCTCACCAGAGTAAATTACTACAGTGTCAGTTTCTTTGCTGATGTACTTACTGACAAGGTACATTCCAACTGATGCTCTGATTGTTGTTATGTCCCATGTTTCCAAGGCATAGATCACTTCACGCAAAGCTTGGAGTCCCTCCTCTGCAGTAAAGATTACCTCATGGTGTTCACTCCCTACAGGAATAAATTCACAGCCAAGTCACTATTGTCAAATGTCAGCAAGAATACTTCCCAATCATTTTCAAAGCTTTGCTGTGGTTGAACTTTAAATCACAAAGAAAACTTCTGACAAACCATAAGTGTTAGCCCTTATAAGCTCTGAAAAGTTGACTGTAATAAAATAAAAGTTGAATTGACAAGTTTGTTGCATTATGATATGCATGCCCTTTCAAAATGATGGTGGTTGCCATATCAAAATCCTACATACCTAGAGTGAATACAGTCCTACATTGTGAAGCATTATAATTAACTTTAAACTGTTAGCATAACTTGGCAAGAATATCAAGTCACCAACAACAGTTCTTTTCAGAACTACACTCACCCGGACGATCACACTATACAAACTACTGATACTCCTGGGTTCAAACCATTTACTTTACTTGGCAAGAATATATGGGATATTTTGAATAAAAATTTTACCACAGCACAGCCCATTAATAAGTGTTTGAAATTAATAAGCAAACAAATATCTAAACAAACCAATGTGATTTGCCACTTTGCGAGCTGCAGCAACATCTGTACTTCCTTCCATTCCTATTGAGAAGGTCTGGATTGGGTAGTCAATTCCACTTTCTTTTGCAAGCTTGGTTAGATAGGATGCCACTAAACTAGAGTCCAAGCCACCAGAGAGCAAACAACCAATTCTACGGTCTGCCATGAGGCGCTTACGCACTGCTTCAGTGAACAACTTTCTGATGTTTTCCATGACGTCGCTGGAGTCAGGCTTTACTTTGGTTTCAAAGACGGGGGGCTTGCCAACCTTTGTGTATGCCTTTTGCTCAATAAATGTAGTTAATCCTTCTTCATTTGACAAGCTGTATGATGCATATTGACCTGGGGGGAATGGCTTTACCACAACCTTGTTGCCATTTTTTTCAAAATTTTTGATGAGAGGAACAAGGCCTTTTGCTTCAGAGCTTAAAGCCAAAATTCCTGTTTTCTTTTCAGGTGCAGACAAAGTAAACAATGGACGGATACCAAAAGTATCTCTTCCAATGTGAACTTGTCTTTTCTTTGTGTCAATAACACAAAAAGCAAAAACACCATCTAGCCTTTGGGCCATTCCTTCAGCTCCAAACTTGTCATAGAGATGCAGAATGACTTCCCCATCACATTTGGTGAAAAAGTCAAAGTCATGCTTCTTCCCAACTTCTTTGTGGTTGTAAATCTCTCCATTGTAAATTAGGTAAAGGTGTGGCAGTGCTTTGATTCTCATTGGTTGCATGCCATAAAGATCATCAACAATAGCCAGGCGGTGGAATGCCACACAGCAGTTCTTGAAATGGGGAATTGTCTCCATACGGAACACATCAGGTCCTCTTTGGCAGATTTTCATGGCAAGGCTGGCATACTTTGAGTATTCTGGGATTCCAAATATAGCCCAGATCCCACACATTCTGCTTAGTGGTGAGTCTTGACCTGAAATCAATGTATGTAAGTACATTTTCTATTAGTTACATGTGTCATACTTAGTCAAGAAGTAACATTTGTATCATTGTTGTGGTGTTTTTCCCATCTTATAGACACCACACCTAATTTTCCTTGAGCATTATACCCAAAAGTCAAGCTGTAAGGACAGACCTTCAAATCGCTTCTTTTCTCAGCAGAATGATTCAGAAAAGACAACACCATGAACATCAGTCTTCTTTTAAGGGAGAGTGTCATTGAAAATGCTCACTTAAAATGTACACAGGGTTGATTCATTTGTGCTCCTCACAAGAGGGCAAGATATAAGGTTTTGTAGAACACTGAAAGAAGATCATAAATCTGAAAGAGTAGGGATATCCTGAAATAACTCTAAATGAAGTGGAAATTGAAGTATTTTCAAGGAAACAACAATATTATGAAATTTTTGTTGCTTTATTGTAAGACCACAATTTAAGATGAGGCCTAGTGCTTCCTCAATTACAGGAACCATATTAATAAACAAGAGCAGAATATCTGGGTATGGAAAGAACAACGGCATAGGTTGAGGAGACAGTGCTATGGTTATCAACTGAAGTGCCAAAAAAATTACACCAATAACAAGCTTGTGTTGGACACTCCAACAAAAAGCTCTTGCCTATGTCCCCTTGGAACCTAATTAATAAATTGATTCATTTTAAAGTGCCACTAAAACCAAAACATTTTTTCAGTAAAAGAAATTTCATGGTTTTACTGATCAACACAGTGAGAAAAGCAATGTCACATTAAAAAAAAAACACATAAAACCTCCAAATTCTACAAGCAGTAAAAGTTTAATTTTTATGTTTCACAACTGTGCATCTTAGGACCTGGATTGAGGAAGGTTGTTATAGCATCCTGAAAAAACTTGCTACAAGGCAATAACTTAAAAGATTCTTTGCCAAGAAAGGGGAAATGCTTGTGGGAATTTCCCTTTTTTAACCATTGAGGACCCTCCACAAAATACCTAAAGAAAGCCATGTCATCTAAAGAATCAAACTTGAACAGTGACTGAATGACTTCAAAGCATCTGCAGCTTCTAATCTATTAGAATATAACATAGAGATGGAGGAAATTGATTGTGCACCAAAAGTGAAGCCTCGATGAATGGTGTCAAGAGACAAGAGGAAGATGGTGTCAAGAAAAGGCGAGCAATTAATGGGGGATCAACACTTGGCGTACAACACATTATGAAGAGACAGAGCCCTTCCAATATTCAAATTTTTATTTGCATCATCCCCCAGGTGTAAATAAAGGATACATAAAAGAAGCACTACCCTTCCTAAAAACACATTTCTCTCACTCCACATTTAATTAAAACATACAGAATTTCAAAATGTGCTTGAAGTATAGGGGACATCCAGATGAGATTTTGTATAACTATCTTTAAAATTAATATTACTGGGAAAGGTCATCAAAATAAAAAGAAAATAGCAAACAGAAGAAAATATTGCCTTCTGTAACACAATTTCACTTGGCTTTACCTAACTTCAAGAACAGAGATGGAGAAATGGCATCTTATTCAAAACCAACCATGCCCTGTTGTGATATTGAAAGGGAAAGTCAGTAAAAGATATCCTGGTCAGAGATAAACTTTAAAGGGAAAAGATTTAAAATAGCTTGCGAGTGGCAAGAATCATGCCTGCCCACCAACATGTTTGAGAGAAATCAACCTATTTTCTTCTGCATTTCTTTGCTTCAGGGCAGTTGTCTTTAGAATATGGGGTGGTATGAGGAGCGAACCTTCCTCTGGGCATAATTCTATAGTTCTTTCCTATGTTTTCAGGTGACTGCTTTCTCTCTAAATGATAACGATAATTTCAAATTGGTTTGACAAAACAACTTTTGGGGGTTAGTGGCACTTAGGGAGAAATTGGGGGAAATATGGAGAAAATACAAATTGTATTCTAAAACAGGCGACCACAGGTCCCTCAATTTAAAGATAAGATTGAATTATTTCCAACACTTCCATCTTGAGTCCGTGATATGTTGTTATACATAATGTGCCAAAGTGTTTGGAACAATTTCATAAAGCTTGCTAGGTTACATAGCAACGTTTCCTACAGTGAATTTCTACGTTCTGTTCATAGAACTGTGTTGAAAACCATGGTTATGATCATAACTACAACAAAATTTCCGCACGAGATAGATAATTAGAATGAGCAATGGCGTCACGAATGCGTCACACGTGTTCACAAGGCCGATGTGAAAAGTGAAAAGTGAAAAGTGACCTAGTTCATATCCGACTTCACACAGTTTTGCCACCAATACATCTCTCAGGTTGGTATGATTTAATAGTTGAACACAAACACGCAATCCATCTTGAGTGGCCAAAATAAATTTCGAATCAATGAGTCACTCTTCGCTTCTCGTCGTGATTGAGAAAAAACTGATTTCCGATCTAAGCAATTACCTGGTAAGAAGGGATCTTCTTACAAGGTGTGTTGCCGTAAGTCCTAACAGAACAAGGCTGCTTCATTCCGTATCGCGTAAAATTGGTGTAAATAAAAGTCGCAAACCTCCTTAACGACCGATTTAGAGCCTTAAACATGTGGACAATGCCCTAACCAACGTAAACGATATCAGGTAATAGAAATGGACATGCTACCGAGAAAATGGTTCCCAAAAGGAGAGCTTCACGGGTAAAATTTTACTTACATGAAATATAACTGGTTAAATGTAAAATATTGCATAAATTCTTACCAAGTGACGTCTTCCAGTAGGTCTGTACCCACGGCGTACGAGATAAAGACCAAAAGATTCTGATGCAATTGTGTCCAACACGTGAAAACGATTAAATGACGCTTCGAGTGTTCTGTGTCTTGGCTGCCTTTGATTGGCTAGCGCAGACGTGCGTTAAATTGACTTTGAGCTGAATACAGACGAACAAGAAGTCATTAATGTTAATTATCATCACCCGAGGGCTTTGGAAGGAAATATCCTGTGGAGTTTGAAAACACGAAATATTGTTTAGGTGAAAATCACGCGACTGACTAGAAAAGAATCATCCTGGAATTTTTACATTAAGGCATCCTTGGGGACTAAATACAAATTTTGTGAATCGTTCTCAAGAAGTAAAGCTTGGATATCCGCCATGTTTTCGACCTAATTCGCATACTTTTGTGCCCGAAAATATAATTTGTTTCTGATACAATGTTCGCTCTCCGTGGTATGTTGAGGTATGATTTCATTTGCCGGGGACTTAGCCCAAAAAAATTTCCGCACGTAATGATTTCTGTCGGCAGGTGCACTTGCTAAGAGCGTTGCCTCGTGTTAGCAGATGTGATTGAGTCACTGTATCTGCTGACAAATTAATCCAAGTAGACGTCTCAATCACTTTAGCAGCTGCAGACACCTCGACTCCTTCAAGTCAGAGAGGTCAACCATGAACATTCTTGCTTTTATTGAATGTGACCCCCCCATCCAGCCACAAGGCACCTAAAATAATAGGTACTTTCATTGCCTCTACATATCCAGGTTGTCATAGGTTGTCGATATTTGAAAAAATTTGACTGGTCGAAACGGTATCATTATTAAATTTAGTATTAAGAGCAGCACACTGTAGGAAGTGTAAAGAAGCAGAGTTCCGCGGTCTGCAGGATAAGCGCGTTTCTTATCATGCCTGACTAAAGTCAGCACAAATGTGTGAATAAATTAAGTCGGTTAAAATATTACACAGAACATGATGATGCATGGTTTTGTACTCTTCGTTGATCGTTCGACATTAAGATCTACACTCGTTGACGGAATAAAAAAGAAAGGATTCCTTCCCTCAAAAATAGAATGAATTCGGGGGATTTTGCTTTCATGGGCCAAGGGGGTCACCATAAATTGAACTTTTTTCTTCTTCTATGGTTGTTATGAACTTTCAATGTATTTTTTTTTTAAAAAGGAAATAAACTAATTACCACAGAAAAAAACTTTGTAACGCTGGCATTGATGCTTCAACCAACACATGCTGTCTTTCAGCTGCTAATTTAACAATACTGAAAACCGAGTAACCCCTAACCCTAACCATACACTGAAAAAACTATAAGAACAAAGTCTAACAAACCAAACAACACAACATGCCAGTTCAAAATAATTTAATCTGGAGAAAAATATGGGCGTATATGGTTCATCAATAATAATCCCAGATAAGTACCATGAAAATGGTGTACAGTAGGAGAGTAGTATCAATGCTACCACGTGTTGAGTCCCTCAGCCAGCTTTGGGTCACTGTCACTTAAACTACACAGTAGTTAAAATTACAATCATTCAATTATAACCCCACCCAAGCACTGTCCAGTCTTTTGACAAACTCTTTTGAGTTAAGAGAAGCTAGCAGAGGCCAATAGCAATACATGTATTTCAACTGACTGTTCACTGTTCAGTGGTATGGAGAAGCTAAGAATTAAATTCACGTATGAAAAACAAAAGCTTTTATCTATCTCCAACTTAGACTGAAATAAACACGGTGTTAGGATTGATGCTGTTCTGTGAGCAATTAATAATTATAACCAATTATGAAGTGACAAAGACAAAACCCCACAAAGAAACTAATTGCAAAGGCTGACAAACCAGAAGCCGTCACTTATCCCATTTGAAGGAAAAACAACTACTTCCCCTTTCAGGGTGAAAAGGCAACAGCAAGCATGCCTAAAATATTCCTTAAAAATTACAACCTTTATTGGCAATCTACTTAAAGCTACTTAAAGCAAAAAAAAAAAAAAAAAAAAAAAAAAAAAGGGCCTGAGCAACTTAAATGTTAAAATACTATAAAAGGTACAAACATGCATAGGAATTTAATCTAGACTGGGGTGTGGAATGGCCTAAAATTAATTCCTGAAGAAATTCCCAATTACACATCAAAGAAGCTTGCCTGAAACACTTGCCACAAAGTGTGAGAAAAAGTATTTTCACATATGATTAGTGGCACACATGACTTCAAGATTACATGGCATTGCATTAAATACTACAAAGGTTCAAGATTGATTACGTCATATCCATTAGTTTTTGAAGTAAGGTGCTCAGTGTCTCACTGGTGACCAGCAGCTTATACCAACAATACACCTGGTAAGCTTCACCACAACAGATCACAATAGAATACAAGATGCTGTGAGCAGAGTGAACATATGAAAGATACAGCGAATGTGCACATTTCCTAGCCTTGAGTCACTTTCAGCTGTAAGGCACCTGTTGCCTCCTTGGTGGGGGAGATTGACATCGAACTATGGCATCAAGAATTTGCATCTGAGCACGCTATAAGAACAAACAATCTAAGTCAAATATTGGATTAGAGAAACACTTAAAGCATACATATTAAATCAACACCCAGTGATAATGTAACCTGTGGTATGTTATTGGTCAAAAGAGGAATTCAAAACAATATCTAAGGGAAAAAAATTGGTGTCAGTGCCAGTTTTCTCTATGTTGCTGGTCTTCACTAAGATCTTCACTAATCAAAATAATTGCTCAGCTTGGATTCATCACTGCAATCACTCCTAAAATGGTGACTTGTGCACTAACCTGGCCACTGGCAAAGCTTTCTTCAATAACTACAATTGCCTCATTACTATCAGTATCTTCACTAGTTGAAACAACTTTAATGCGTACTCCTGTTTGTCTTTGCAGTTCTTTAACCTAACCCAGAATAAACAGATAAAAAAAAATTGGTATGTTACAAATGCAAATACAAATCTCCATAAAGTACTGTCCTTTTAGAACCCAGGAAAATGCTCAAAAGACTGAAAATGTGTGGTTCTGAGATTCACCCTTACCCAAAATGATTTGGGGGCACAAGGTTAAACTGGACAAGATATCATAGTTGGACCAGATAGAGATCACAACAATAATATATGGATAACAAACTTTTGACTCATTTCTTTTTTGGGGAAAAAAAAATCAAGGAACACAGGAGATGATGGTGAACAATTTTGAGATTCTTTCCTGCATGAAGGTGAAAGGCAACAAGACAACACTAAAAGGTTTCAAAATATAAACAAATTTGAGGAATGAGTTCTGCCCACTTACATTTTGGCCATCTCTACCAATAAATCTGCCTATTACATTGGGCTGATCCTTACTTCCTGGTTTGAGAGGTATGAAAATTTCTATTTTCAATTTTAGTTCGCCAAAATTTTCCCCTGAATTTGTTTTGTAACCTTCCTCTGCAAGCTTACAATAAACACAGTGTTGAGCCTGAAATTGTCAAGCAAAGGAGACATAATTACAACAAAGTTAATTATCACCAGTACTAGCGTCATTTCTTGCAATAACTATTAAAACAGACAAATACATTGTCTAAATGTAAAAATAGAATAAATAAGTAAATACCTTTGTACATTTTGACTTGTATAGTATAAGTATTGAAAATTTGTAGTGGGTAACCTACTTATTTTAGCTCCCTTTAGCTATCTTTAAATGAAATAGCTTACTAGGTACTGCTGCAAAGGAGTGCCAATGATCTCAACATATCTCTCAGGTGCATCACGATCTTTAGGAAACACATGCACTTTATGAGCTCCACTGAAATTCTTTATGTGGTGAAGATTTGAAGCCTTTTTGCCAATCAAGGAGCCAGCAAACTTGGATGGAAATGACAAGTGAACTTTAACTCCCATCTACAACATAATTACACAGAGGAACAAATTACTTAAGATCAATCTCAACTACAACAGTTAATGAAGGAGAGTCACTGCAACTCCTTGGAGGGGAATACAGCTAGCAAACAGAAGTCAAACAAAATTGCAGAAAGTAAATGGCCACTTTGTAGAAACAAAAAAAAATTACCTGGGCCACATTCATATAACCCTGAAAGACGTTTCCAAATGCTCCTTGAAACCATGAAGGAAAAGGATGGGTCTACAAGAAAAATCATTATTTATAATAAGATGGTTTAGGTTACTTTCATTGAATATCAATATAAATACTAGGAACTGCAGGCAAAAAAAAATCTTATGATTAGTTGGAGTAACCATACTCACAGGCTGTGGGTTGCTATAAGAGGGTGCTCCCATTTGAGGCCAAGGACCCTGTGCATGGGGAGGCATAAACTGTTGCTGTACATTTGGGCGCTGTTGTTGCTAGAGAGTAAAGGAATTGTAATATGTCAGCATACATATGTACATGCACATAACAGCCTGTATCATTTAAATGAAGTCCTCAACTTTAATAACAAGAATTGATTATTCCTTAAGGGCTAAGTTTTTCTAAAAAATTTAGAGCTTTAGTTTCATAATTGAAGCAGAATAACAGGTACCAGTTGACATAGATCTTGTTTTCTTGACTCTTACTTTGAAGATGTTGCTGTCCATTTTCATTTCATTGTAAGGTGCCACTAGGGTTTTCAAGTCAACTCTTGTGATGTCCCCAGTTCAAAAATGGTATTCTGAACTGAATACACGTTTCCAAATTAGAGGCCCATACTTAACTATGAATTCATTTAGTTCTGACTATGTGATCCACAAATGACATGTTAATCATCTTCTTAATAGAACTACTTGCAGTAATGGTGACTAAGCAAGTCTAACAATTTACAAAAGAAAGTTAAGAGTTTTGATATTTAAGTCTGCTTGAAGCACAAACCTGTGACATGATCTCTCTGAGGCAACTATATGCTTTGACACTAACTAAGTGTTCAGCTTGACTACATTTTGAAAGTGCTTCCTCTTCTTCTGGGTTTAGCATAGTATCCTCAGATATGGCTAGCTGCTCTGTTGGCAGTTGAAACTGTATTGTTATTACTCTATCCATTTGGTTTAATGGATTGATGTCTCCCCTGGAAGCATAAAAGACAAAACCAGTTCAGTTAAAGCTAAATGTCCACACCTTTTAGCTTTAGTCATGGACAAATATATAGAGTGTATAGCTTTTAATGCAATGGTTATCTTGCAGAAAATAATTCAGTAGTTTTTGCTTCCCCTTCCCATCCCTTCGTGATGTTTAATGGAATGAGAGAAGGGAGAATTATCAGGCTTCTCCAAAACACATTAGTGGCTAGGAGTTTTGTTAGGTTCAAAGCAAAATTCTGTTCAGTTCGACATTACAATATGTCATACCATAACAACGACAAAAATGATGTCAGATTTCCTAAGAATACACAATACACAATACACAAACTGGTGGCAAGAACACCAAGAGAAATCTAAGTTTCACTTTTCCAGCATCAGAACAGTTACCTTTTCGCTCGAACAGAGGTAACTTCTACATCTTCAGTAATATGTTTAAGGTGGCAATGACCTCTACCTGCCAAAAATAGATAATAGAAGTTAAAATAACAAAAACCATAAGACAAAGGACTTCAAAATATTTCATCACTATAAGCAGACGTAGTAATTTAGGACAGAAATTTCTTTTTTTTTTTGAGAAATTACTGAGTAAAAGCACCTTATGACATTTACCACAAAACAAGTTGACAAATGACCATTAAAGTTGTTATGAACATTGTGTATCAGGTGCTACTTAAGGGTGCTATAAGCAGATTAAGCACAACACCAATTCATATATGTCTACAAGACAAAACTTATGCATTTACTGTTATCTCTGCTTAAAAGAAAGTTATTTTACACATACACATCTTACCTATCACTCTTCCAGCAATGCTACTATGAACCAAAATTCGCATCTCAATGACTTGGCTGAAACAATCAAGCAAAATGGCATCAATAATTAAACAAAGGGCAAAAGTAAGTAGGATTTTGTAAAAGAAAGATGGAAAGTTTTGAGCTTGGTAAAGAAATAGAGGAAGATGCTTTTTCATCTTGTCACAAGCGCAGGATTAAAAATTCTGAGTTCCCATAAGGAATCAAACCTAAGACCTTTGAATTCTGTGCTCTGGTGCTCTACCACTGAACCACAGACTCCATGGTGAGCCAGGCCCATTACCAAATTCAAATATAATGTGCAACATGCATACTGCTTAGATAAGCAATGTCCATAGCATGATGTTTTGCATATAGCATACGGGAGAGAGTGCAGAATAAGAGAGACAGAGTGCAAATATGAACTGTCTAATGGGCCTTGCTCACCACAAAGTCTCTGTGGTTCAGTGATAGAGTGTTAGAGATTGGAATCTAACAAGCTGAGTTCAATGAGGACTAAGAATGTTTTCTGTCCCACACTTGCAACAAGACAAAAAACATCTTTCTCAGTAATTATGATGCCAAGTGATAATTATAACAAAAACAAAGCTGTTGCTGAGCAAATGTCAGGGTCTTTCATCATCACAAAATTGTCTGCATTCTTTATTCAACAATCTCTCTCACTGTTCAATTTAAGAGTCACTGACTTGCTCTTGTATCACCTAACATTTTACATTTACATTTTATATATATTATCTTGCAACATCTATAACAGACATATTCGCAAGCTCCTAACTAATAACTAAAACACTACAACTAGGACATATAAAAATAGGAAAAAAAAAATAAAAATAAACAAATCGTAAAAGGTAAACAGCACACTGAAAAAATGTAGTCAGAGATGGTGGCTTTAAATTTTGCAGTTGAATCCAATGTTAAATAATCAGGTGGCAGGCTATTCCTGTCAATGATAGTTCTTAGCCAGAAGCTGTATTTGTATGTGTCACAGGATGGCTGAAGTGAGATAAATTTCAGAACTAACAAACTGATTCACTAAACGGTGGTTAAGTACAAACATTAGATAGGAGAGCATCAATTGCTTTTAGCAAGCAAAGTCACTATGTCACTTGCAAGACAAATATAGTTCTGTCACTAAAAGACTGCTTGTTTTCTTGTTGGTTTGTTGTTTTGTTATATCATACCCTCTTTTTGCAGGATCAGTTTCTGCACGCATAGTCCTGTGAATGCCAAGGTTGGCTTCAGTACACTGCTCTGCTGTCCCAACAATCTCCACCACCTAAAACAAACATAAGAAAAGCTATACTTCATAACTTTTTGTACTGATTAATAAAAGAACATAAGCATGTGTAGCATGTAAGAGTTACTTTTGGCTGGGTGGGTTGAGATGGGCCTTTTTGTGTACCAAATTTTTTTGTAACAGAAAACCACATATCTTTCCAATGGATGAAAATAATGCATTACCTCTCTTTAAGTCAAAGAAAAAAGAAACTAACTTATTTGAACTCACGCAGGTATTTTTTGTCTAAATACTTCTAAGCAAAAATAAAATACATTGGTGCCAAACTTACTGTTGTTTCCCTTTGCAGCCGTTGTTTGGTCTTGTCACACAACACCATACATTCCCCGTTGGAGAGAGAGCACGTTGTGTGATGAGACCAAATAAAGGTTGCAAGAGGTTTGTCTACAGTTAGTTGCCTCAAAAATATAATTTATTTAATAAGGTACAAATCTCTCTCTTTATGAAAATATAAAGAACTCCCTATTTGAACAACTACTTCTATAACTTTTCCTTTGTTAAACAAAAAAAACTTTTAGTTTTGACAGTTCATCATCCACTACAAACCTCCAAACATAACAACCCACGCTAAGGATACCATTTTGATTTTGAAAGTAACTGTCACCAGTCTTCCTTCCTTGTTCGATCGCCTTCAAACAGCCTGTTTTATCGATCTCCAAGAGTTTCAAACAAAGCTAATGAAAACTTGCTTCCTATATCTTTGTTATATAATGACAATTAGGCATACTGGTAACACGTACAGCAAAAACAGTTCAACGTTAATAACTGGATATTCAGAGAGTGCTTCACATCGAATGTTGTCACATGCAAGTGTTATGATTTGACAACTTGAACGTGTCAGTGTAGGTAGAAACTAGTGATCTTGTAGAAAGACAAGTTCGATCTGTAATCTCTTTAAAGATTGTAAAGTTTAATACATCTATTGAGTAGTAACCTTTCAAATTATTCTAATAACAATTACCTAAGTGATGGAGAGTTCAGTATCGATTGATAAGCGTCATAGCGACCATGATGTAAACAAATGATTTCACGAAAGTTTTAAAAATTCAAAAGAAATCTAGATGTACTATAGCTTAAATGAATGTAGGAAAGGGCTAAATTTCTTTGAGTCTTGACCAAGTAGCATGGCCGTCACATAGTCGAGATATAGATGTAACTGTTTATCAGAATTCACCAATTTATATATATACAGAAATTTATATATATTTACACAGAAATTTTGTAAATAGGTCTTTTGTCATTTTTGGTAAAAAGTGAAACAGTTTGCAGGTTTTTACTTTGACTTCAGAAGAGAGAGGACTGGTGACAATTACTTTTGAAATCAACATGGCGTCCTTAGCGTTGGATTGTCATGTTCATATGTTTGTGGTGGATGATGTACTGTCAAAACTAAAAGGTTTTTCGTTTGACAAAGGAAAAGTAATAGAAGTAATCTTTCGAATAGGGAGTTCTTTACATTTTCATAGAGAGAAAGATTTGTTCCTTTCTTCAAGTAAGTAAGTAAGTATAAGTAAGAATAGTGATCGTGTTCACAAGCATTTCAATCTAGTTGAAGTTACTACACAAATAAATGTCCACGTTCTTGCCGTTGGATCTTATTGAAAGTGACATGTGAAGGTGAAATGTCTTATCAGTATCAACTAGTATACCTTTTATATTGATGTTTCTCACTTATAATTATTGTGCAAAATGACCACTAAGAATCGTGTGAACGGTCCAAAACTTGAGCTAAAAGACTTGTGCAAAAAGTCTTTTGTGCGAAATGTCCTGTATTTGACCCTAACAGAAGATATATTTCCATCTCGAATATGTGAAGATACACTGAACAAGAGAAAAGGGTAATATTTGGGGCTCCTTGATTGGTTGTTGCCTATCTGGACTTTGCCTTGTGTGTGTGTAAAAGATGTGATAAAAACAAGTTGTTTACGAGGAATTGACACACAATTGGATTAAGCCCAAGGTAGCTAAAAGCAAATTTTATTCCTAAAAAAAGTCAAAACACAGGAGAATTGCATGGATAATTTACTTTTAGAAGCATTTAGTTTCATGTGAATTTTTTCCCAGAGGGATTGGACGATGCTGTTAGAATACATGATTAAACACAGGTTGTTTAGAAGGAAATGACACGTGATAAAGCAAAGTCTAAATTTGCCAAGATAGAATTTGATTGGTGGAATACAATTTAAGCACAAAAAAAAAGTGCCTAATGTTCATATAGTGCAATGATTTGGTATGTTGATTGGACTTTGGACATTGTTTTCATTGTACATGATGGAATGTAAGTTGTTTGACGTGTGTGTTGTGAGTAAAGGAGCAGAAAAAACACTTTTTACCTTAAAAATTATACAAAAAGGTTATATGTGAACCTTTCATATCCCAATAAATCTCAATCTTAATCAACAAGGCTCTCACAGAGGCCATGCACCATAACACTTATCAAAATTAGCCCAAAATTTATGGTTTATGCTATTCTTTGTACACAGCCCCCTGATTCCATGACAACATTTGCAAGAGGACTGTGATATGACTGGTGTGAGATACATACCCTAAACATTTTGATAGGTGCAAGATATCCAAATGTTGTGATATGATTGGTGCAAAATACGTACCCTAATAGAGCAATCTGATTGATGCAAGCAACATACCACTCTACACACTAACACAGTTATTTTTTTTAATTAAAATAGAATAAACTCATTATTAAAAAATTAAAATAAACTCAAAAAGGACATAAAAATTTCTGCTACCAGAAAGTCAACAACAACATTATTTTCCAATTTTTTTTTTTTTGGCTTTGTATCAAAAGCTATTGTGCACAGACAGCATATTTACCTTGAAAAATTCTCCTTAAATTCTCCTTAAATTCTCCTTTCTGTCTACTATACAATTCTTTTGATGTTCATCTGGAGAATTTGGTATTGCATCAGCTAATAATTCCCTAATTGATATTTTTCTCTTCTCTCATCACTTGTCTGCTAGATATTGTATGAATAATGAAGGGAGGAATTCTGTCTTGGTCATTAATGGGAGTTAAAGGGTTAACATAAACAAAGCAGAAATCATTTATCTGTTACCTTTTCAGGAGGACCCTTGTCATCTTTCTTGTGCACTGTGATGCTGAAAAGAAAATTCCAATGCAACTGTAAATTGTACTTTAGTGGTGAATTTTATTATTGAATGTGTAGTGAGAAGCACTTATGATTAAAACTTGAAATGGTAAAGAAGACAGTTACATGTGTATAGCACTGATAAAGCTGAACAGAGTTGACTCAATGGAATTAGAGCAAATTACAACAGATAATCCAGTCAGACATGGTTTGATGCCAGTCTGGTTTGAGGATTTAATGAATGTAACTGAGAAGTTTCAATTCATAGAGCCAATGTTTCGACACTCCTGTCTAGTGCCTTCATCAGGGGTGATCTAAGTGCTGTAACAAAAAGGTCCTTTAATACACTCACTAATTAGCTGCCCTTTTTTCTGACTGGGTGTAAATAGGCGTCAGTAAATAAGTTGCATCATCATGATTTAAAGGAGCATGGGCAGAGTTGATATGCCAGGCTTCCAAACAAAGGCACTGGTGGCAATGCTGATTAGTGGTGATAATTTTAGACTTATCCCACCCAATTGTATAGTTGGTGGGGCACGTGTGCTCCGATAAAGCTAAAGTTTCTTTTTTGCAAAAGAAGACCGCTTTTTGATGCTCTTTCAAATGTGTACCAAACTGACATTTGGTCTGTCAGATACACTCATTATTACAGTCATTGCATGGAATAGAATAAACAGCATCAATTAGTTGTTCTTTTGTGACAGGATCTGTAGGTTTGGCAAAAATATGTCCCAAAGTTTGAAAAGGTTTTGAGCTACTTAAGCATTATGGGTACTTAAAATTCTCTTGATGGGTTCCGTAACACCCTGAATGTAGGGAATAACAGCAAAACTAGTCACTGGTTCCCTCTCATCAGGAGTGCTACTAGTTGTAACTAGTTTTCTGCAGTTATGGAGAAAAGTTTTGGGATAGCCATTCACATTTAGGACAAGAGAAACATATTTCCCATCCTCAGCCTTAAAATTGAGTGAAGATGGTAGACAGTCAGCCCTCCTGGGTAAAGTTTTGGCTACAGACTTTTTATGGCAAATGGGGTGGTGAGAATCAAAAGTGAGGTATTTGTCAGTGTGGTTAGGTTTACGATAGACGCTCATCTCAAAATTCCTCTGCTCCCCTCTGTACACATTAAAATCAAGAAAGGGCAAATGTCTATCCTTTTCATGCTCAAGGGTGATTTGGATAGACGGCTTGACTGAGTTCAAGTGTGATGAGAGGCATTCCACTTCATTTCCGGATACCACAAAAAATTACATCATTGACATATCGTTTCAAGAAAAAGGGTTTAACTGATGAAGTGGCCGAGGCCCTTTGTTCCATGTCTTCCATTAGCATTTTAACAATGAACCCATAGCTGTACCAAAAACCTGTTGATAGTAGGTAAAGCTGTATGAAAATTGTGTGGTTTTGAGGCAAGAAGACAGCAGAAGAATATATCCTCCACAAGCAAAGAAGTTCTTTGTCCTAAGGAAGCACCCTCTCTAAGTCTTTTCTCCGCAACCTTAATGGCAAGATCAACTAGCATTTTAGTGACGAGCAAAACAATGTCACAAGCATCAAGAGTTTTATCTCTTATGAAATCTCCAAATTCACAGGAATTTTTGACAGCATAATCAGTATTGATTTAAATGTGTACAGAGAAGAACAGAGAAATTTAGAGACAAGTGTCTATCGTAAACCTACCTGCACCAACAAATACCTCACTTTCAATTCTCACCACCCTATTTGCCATAAAGAGTCTGTAGCCAAAACTTTACTCAGGAGGGCTGACTGTCAACCATCTTCAATCCATTCGAAGGCTGAGGAGAGGAAACATGTTTCTAATGTCCTAAAGGCAAATGGCTATACCAAACCTTTTCTCTATAACTGCCAAAAAGCAGTTACAACTAATAGCACTCCCAATGAGAGGGAACCAGTGACTAGTTTTGCTGTTACTCCCAACATTCAGGGTGTTACGGAACCCATCAAGAGAATTTTGAATAGCCCCAACCCTTAAGTTGCTCAAAAACCTTTTCAAACTTTGGGGCATATTTCTGCCAAACCTATGGATCCTGTCACGAAAAAACAACTAACTAATGCTATTTACTCTATTCTGTGCAATGGCTGTGATAACCAGTATATCAACGGACCAAACGTCACTTTGGTTCACATTTGAAAGAGCATCGAAAGGCGGTCTTCTTTTGCAAAAAAGAAAATTTAGCTTTATTGGAGCACTCATGCCGAACCAACCATACAATTGGGTGGGATAAGTCTAAAATCATCACCACTAATCGGCATCACCACCAGCACCTTTGTTTGGAAGCCTGACATATCAACTCAGCCTACGCTCCTTTGAATCGTGATGATGGCGGCTTACTTCCTGACACCTATTTACACCTTGTCAGAAAAAAAGGCAGCTAATTAGTGAGCGTGTTAAAGGACCTCTTGTTGCAGTGTTTAGATCACCCCTGATGAAGGTACTAGACAACAGTGATTTGAACGTTAGCTCTATGAATTGTAACTTCTCGGTTACATTAATTAAATCACTAAACCAGAGTAGTATCAAACCATGTCCGACTGTCCACCTGGCTGCCATGTGAACTTTAATATAGGATAATCCAGTGTTTTTCATGAACAAATGCCATGTCCCAAGTTATATTATGTATGTATCTACTCACTCTGTTCCTGTTTTATCAGTGAGATCCTTTATCTTCTTTCCTTCTTTACCAATAATAGCTCCCACCATAGTGGATGGAACAAGAACCCTGAAAAATGACATCAGCCTCTGTTAAATATCCATGTATTAAAGAAGGAAAAGCTGTGCTCAGAGGCCTTCAGCTGGTTTAACACATCAAGCAGGTTTGTACAAAAGCAACATTCAAAACACACTGCCATACTGGGTAGAATATTGCAATTGGAAGGACGGTAGTATGTGTCAGTGCAATTTAAGTAATACTCCTTCAGAAATCTTAAAGACCAATTAAGTGTGACAATGCAGTAATAGAAGACTCCATCCTCCGCAGTGACTTAAAAGAGAGCAAGTACCCACAGTAGAAGTGTATCAAACTTTTTGTTAAGACAAATAAAATGGCATGAATAGTCTTGCACACTCTACATGTGCCACAGTCGTACAAACAAGTCTAGTTCTCATTTCTGGGAGGTCAAGGGGTTAAACAGTGAATTTCACCAGTACCATTTGTACTACAAACATGGCTTAGCCCTAACAAAGGTCTGAATTTACCTGATGCAATAATCATGGTCTCTTGGTTGCCTGTTACCACGAGCTGACCTTGGTTTTCCTGTTCTGGAGCCATTCCTTTTATCTTTTGCTCCATCAGGAGATTGTGAATTCCTAACATCTGGAAGTTCATCTTCTCCCATGTATGAATACTGCAAAACCATGATAATAACTTTATTGGAGATCAAAAATAGCTAACAATCATAATTTACCAAGTCAGTAGAGAGTAGGTAGACCCAGATTAGTTCATCAAGACAGGAATTGTCCAAGTTGATTTCATATCCCAGCCAAATGTTCTTTGTGACTACAAAAATTCCTTCTAACAATATGTATATGTAAAAATGGCCCTTCATGCACTGAAACTGGTATGAAGCAAAATACAATGATCAACAATCTAAAAAGGTTTGCCCTCTTCAAGTTAGCAGATGTCATGTATAGCTAGACACTTCCCTTTATGTTTTATAACCTAAATCTACTCAACCTGTGACAGAGACCAACAGGATAGATTGTATTCAATTATTACCTGAGGGTAAAATTTAAGTGAATTTCATATCAAAATTTTCACAAGATGAGATGATAAGTACATATCTAACAAAAATGTTTGGCAAAATATAATCCCAAGAGGATAAATTGGATGTTATTTCTTTTAAAATACATAGATGTAATAGTTTGGAAAGCATTTCCCCAATGTTGTATCAACCAAGTAGTATTGCTGTTTTGTTGTGCAACTGTTTCAAATTGTATTCTTTCAAGGAGAAACCTTGAAAAAGGTTGAAGACACAATTTTAAAATTGTTCCCTTTTAGGTAATGTTGGCAAACTGAATGTCTCCATACTTACCCTACCCATCAGACTGTAACAAGACTAACGGCAAAAATTATGGTGTCACACAAAGAAACACAAAACCTTGATCATTTCTCGGTGGTTAAAACTGAACATGTATCTTCTGTTACTGATAAATATTTAACACTATGGCTTTTATGTAGTCTAGAAAGTTCTAACTGATTTTTCTTGACAGACAAATGCCATATGATCAAAGAAATAATGTCTGTTGTCTTCCAAGTCATCCGATATTTGATAAAGATTTTTCATTTGAATCTAAATCCTACCATTAGATTGCTCTTTTGGTTTCACAAATCCACACATCAACAAAAGTCCATGAATATTTCATGCTTTACAAAAAACTAAAAACATCAAATGAGAAAAAAGGAACATGATGCCTTCCAAATCTAGCCTTAGCAAGTATGTAATGCACTATATGTCTTCTTATATTAATGGCAAATTTCTGCAAATCTTCTTAGGCTCGATCACCTTGAAACCAAAGCTTAAAATCAAAAGGAAAATCTTTTCAGTTGTTGGTAACAACACATCAAAGTTACAGAATTCACTTTCGTAAAATCTTTTTTGTTTAAAAATATCACAGCTTAGTTCAAATAATACTCAAGAAGGAGACATTTCTGAAATTATCAAGAGCAAGAATAAGATTAACATGGTACTTATTAAAAATTACTTGTTCTGGGAGACTGGTGGTTTATGGTGGCAGCAATTTGACAGAAAAACTTATTAGCATTGACAAAATTGCAACAAGTTTTCAAAAACAAAAATAATCTAACCACTATGTGAATTTGGCTTAGTTAGAGAGATGAACAAAGGCAAAATCATAGCCACTAACTGAAAGAATTATATTCTAGAAGTTAAATCATATGCCTTCCGTGAATTTTCACACATATTGAAATACCTGTGAATCACAGGAACTTATAAGTGTCAACTTCAAAATAACTAAGTGAATAGACTATGCATTTGATGGGCACCACAGTGATTATTGAGCTAGAATTCAGCAAGGTCTTTTCACACATTTGCCTGAAAACCCCACATCATTTGAGACAGAAGTATACAAAAGAGGTATAATTATTTTCAATTGGTGAATCAAAACAACAAAATTGGCCTATTATCCTGTCTTCCATAATAATAAATATAAATTTATGTGGAATGTGCTTAATAAACAAAGAAGCATACCTTCCATTTAATAAAAATGAGGAGGTTTGACAACACCAACAATAAGTCTGTTATATAGATCTGCATTTACACTAAGTACAAGGCCTAACTTGGGAGGCATTTTAGGCTTCAATGGTAACAATTTGGTAACTCATCATCATATAATTAATTTCAAACACTAATGAACTGAAAGATGTTCCTTGGGAAAAACCAAGGTTCAAAACTATCAGTATTGTAATTAATGTCACAAAGTTGAACTTCACCACTGCTACACAGATTTGGTTTATCTTGAAGGAAAATTCATCAGGGAAAAGTAAGTGTGCCATGGTTTTTTAACACAGTGCTTCCACAGGTTTGGATAACAAAATAAAAGGCAGTTGCTAATGATTGGAACAATTTTAGCTCCTTTTAGACCTTTAAATTCCCAAGATTCCCAAGACCGACTTGTATTCTGAAACAAACTAAACTGTTCTTCAAAAGAAGTTAAAATGTGTCATGTTCTGAAATGCTACACATGAACTGACAATTCCCAAACATCCTGATTTAGAACTCTCAGGGGATGTTATACGTGCCATGGAATCCAATTGCATAACACAACAAAATACCTGCACTAACAAGCTTAGTCTTAAGTTCCAGGCTGAATGTGATAGTGCTTGTAGTAAGAGTCAAGCATTTTTTCACTGGTAATATGTACAATATTCAATGAGTATTGTACATGGTATATCAGACATCATATTGCAAAATATATACATCAATATTTTCTAAAATATAAGATATAACACTAGATTTCCTCATTTTTATACCTTCACAAGACCAACAATGCAAATTAATTTCACGGATACACTTGGCAACATACATATATCAAAGCTTGAACAAAAGCAATTCAGGGTTTACCACTGTCTAAAAAAATTAGCGAAGGACCATTCATGATATTTCACATACAATGATGTATTATGAGAAAATCATTTTCAACTATTCTGAGGAAGACTACAGCTGACAGTTCTAGAATCATATTTCATCAATCATTTTCGAGTAACATGGACAGCAACAAAAAAAAAAAAAAAAAAAAAAAAAAAAAAAAAAAAAGACAGTTTCATTCACCAAACTCTAGGAAATGGACATGCCTGGATCTCCACCAATACCCTGTAAAATCAACACTAACTTGTTATTACTATGCCAAATCTACGTGTAGCAACTGCAGGCATAAAGTACGGCTAATCACCTCTGAAAAAATTTAAATTCCGGCACAAAATCATCTTTAATACAAACTTCACATAAAAGGTCCTATTTTTTGCAGCTCGCCAATACAAACACACTCAGACAAATTCATGTCTGCAATTTGACCAACAGAGTTTCAGATTAATGATGTAGGTCCCAACAAATATGTACAAAGGGTTGTTGATTTTGAATGAGAGTAATGATACTGGTGATGCAGATCTCTCTGTTCAGTTCAAATATCATCAGACTAAAGCCCCTGGACTATTTCCCTATGTGGGAGATGAATAACATTCACAGGCTGTTTCAAAACAGAAATGTAAATTTGAAGCAAAGCTACTATCTGGTCACTAACATATTCTGCTAAACTTGTCTACAGATACAATATTCATTTGTACAATTTCTGTTTGTTAGCCCCAGAAGGAAAACCATGTGACCAGTCAAATAACAAGTATATCTATGAGGCTAAAATCTTTTGATAACACAGATCTGGTTAGTATTGTTTCAAAATTTTGTAAGACACATCAGCTCAAGAAACTAGGAGCAACACCAAAACATTTACAAATTTGTCAGTCAATGCGAACTTGTATGAAAGCGATGCCAGTCTTTCACACTTCTGTCTTCCATGGTTTGGAGACAGCTTTTTAACAACTTTGATACCTCATAATTTTTAAATTGCTTATAGGCAAACTTCTGATAAATACACCTCTTCTTTAAGTCCTTTTGTACAAAGTTCACTGATCATTAACCCTGGAAAAAGTTTAAACACCTGGCTGCCGTTGTTCGAAGGGTGGACGACCCTATCTAACAGATAAATCGCAATGCAGCAAGATTTATCTGTTGGATAGCGTTATCCACCCTTTTAACAACCAGGCCCTGATTTTTAACTGATTTGGTGCTTGCCTACGCCATCTACCAAAGTAATATAACTTCGTAAAACAAAAAAAACAGCTAATGATTACGTATTCGGACTTCAACAGAGAACAGGATGTGACAATTGTTAGAGTTATCTCTTAAAATGCAAACTCAACACGACTAAGTAGTCTAAAATAATTTATGCTTACACAGCACGTGTTAACAAGTCTTCACATGGAAGTTATTGAACCATTCTAAAGAGTAACCTCTAAATAATGTCATTGTGAAAACAGCTTTCTCTAATTTTACACGCATCATATCTGCTGCTGGGTATTTTTAAAAAAGTCTAGACAGCACTCTTCTCATCACATGTATTGTAATCTCTTACAGGGTAAGTGCTTTGCATGTAAATAAGAAAAAAGATTACGTAACTGGTGGAATGAATGGTAAGTAACTGGGTGACCTTTCCGACTCAAATAAACACATACCTGGGCTGCTCCTTGATCCAAAACGGGTCCCACAGCCCTAACAAAAAAAAATGTATCATGAACACATAAACAGAACAAGTTCAGAAAATGAAACTATTCAAGACTGAACTAGGATGAAATACCAAGGACAAAGAAAAATTCACAATATATAATCTTTCTCTCTACCTGATGTTACAACCGAATAGTGAACCCAAAGTGAAAACAGAAAATTAACATTTCTTCGATTATATGAAAAGTACCTGCATTATTTACATACAAAAAGATGGCCAACATAGTATGGTAATGAAATAGCCTAGAGGTTTAGGTCAACAACCATTTCAGAGAGATGTCTGCTACACAGGAGGTTACTTTGCCACAAACATTTGGGAGTGTTTGTACCACTGATAACAATTAAAATGAACTGCACTGAGAACCAGACAAAAGAATCAGACAGTAGGATGAACCCTAGTTTGATTATTGGCATAGGTCAGCACGTGAGTCACGATACACAAACAAAAAAAAGTCTACTTGACTATTATTTCTCAAAAAGCTTCAATAAAAAGGGTAAACAAACACTGGAATGTAAACTGAGAGCAAAAAAAAGACAATCACATCAAAATCTCAAACTGTTACACCGGAAAGTTTCATTGACCGTTTAATTGAATACATATAGTTACTAATTGTACGACTTGTGTTCAACTTCTGCGAGTAAGCAGAAGCGAAACTGCAAAACACTACCGTAGACTGTTTAGTCTTCTCTGAATGCAAATCCCACTTACTAAAAATAAGTTGTTTTAAGAGAAAAACACAATTGGACACGCATGTACAAATAACAGAAGCCTACCCTTGTGGTTCTTCACGTGCGGCGTACTCCATCACAGAACATACGTTAAGCTGAAAGGTCAGGGAAAACCCCGCAAATGAGATCAGTTAAACAATAGATAAGGAAGATTTATAGCA